ATTCTGCAGCAGATTCGTTGATAACGTTTCAACGTTCACGAACGAGCCTCGTTAGCTCGGCTGACGCCGAGACATACAGCGCGCGCGCGCAATATCGTCGCCGTGCCGCGGAATTAGAGAGCGATGGGGTGGCATGCGCGGAGGAGGGCGGTGGAGTGGCGGGCGGGGAGAACGATACTCTGAAGTTGAACGAAATAAGAGAGACCGGTTACTATCGGCTTTACGAGCTTTAAAGTACTGAATGCTCGTCCCAGCTAACCTATCGCGCAGCTTACTCTCTCGCGCAGTTTTCCCTCCTCGCGTAAACGTCGTTATTACGGAAACGTGGATCGCGTCCCAAGACGACGACTAGGACCAGGTCGACGACGACGACGACGACGACGAGGCAGCAGTCGCCGCCGCCGCCGCCGCCGCCGCATTGGCGTGCCTACTTGTACCTAATTGGACTGGAAGCACGTAAACTTGGATTAGATTTCGCCGGAGCAACTCAGCCACCAACTGCCGCCAACTAGCGTCTTTAACTTCAAGCCAGCTCGCGGGAGCGTGCACGAAACGCGCACGGGGGGGAGAGAGAGAGCAAGAGAGAGAGAGAGAGAGAGAGAGAGAGAGGGAGACGCGTAGCCACTTCTATCGCGAAAGACTAAGGCGAAAAGCCGAGGAGGAACTCTAAAGGCTGCTATTAACGCCGATATCTTGAGCGCGAAGCGCTTTCATAAAGCGCGCTATGCGAGAAAGCGGCAAGCTCACGCGTAATCGTGTCTCGCCGAACGATTTTCCTTCAGCCAACTATATAAAGATGTGTAGCATATAATCGTGTACAATATCGCCGTAGCGAGTCGCTTCTGCATTGAAAATTGTGTCCTTTATAATTTTATAATTTTATAATAACACTTATATAATATGTATTCTCTTTATAATTTGCTATAATACTTATATAATATTACATAATATTCGAGTTTTATCAGGAGAATACGTAACGAGCGAAGAGGTAACGGCGAAATTTCAGCGGGAGCGGGGGGGGGGATTAAAAAATCTGCAAGTTTCCTACCGATTTTCGCATTCTCAAATCAGGAAAATGTGTAACGAGCGAGAAGGATAGGCGGGGAAGGGGGGTGGTAGCGCGCGAATTTCTGACGGAAAATTAAAAAATTTCTCAACTTTTCTCGCTCGTCCGTTTTTACGTTTTCGTATCGGGGGAGTATAACGAGCGAGAAAGTAGGACAAACCTTCCATCGGGGAAATGAATATTTTCATCATTTTCACGCTATTCTCAAAGAGCATTTTCTGCCACGGGTTTGACACTTCGCTTTTCTGTATCGGAGCTGCCGACTCCACGGCGGCGTGAGAACATTATTCGGATACGTCAGAGTGGCAAGTTCGCTCTAAATGAGCGAAGAGCCGCTCGACTCTCCGAGAGAGAGAGAGAGAGAGAGAGAGAGAGAGAGAGAGAGAGAGAGAGAGAGAGCGAGAGAGAGAGAGAGAGAGAGAGAGAGAGAGAGAGACTCGTCATTTCGACTGGAGTTACACTCGAGGAGATTCCGAGAGTGGACTAAGGAGAGCCGCGCCGCGCAGGAGTCGCCGATCGGCCACGCCTGGTCTCTCCCATCTTCGGCGATGCACCCACTCCTCCGCGATCTCCTGCAGACGCTTTTCGTTCGCTCGCGCCTTTCGTCGCGTAATTAGCCCGAGTCGCGGCCGTCAGATATTATTCGTTACGACCGGCTGCGCGCTTCATTAACGCGCATTCAGCGCCGCGCGATCATAATACGGCGTCATCGAAATTCACTCGATACCTTGGTCCTCGCTGCCGAAGCCATTAGCAGCGATATCGCTACAATAGCGAATTAACAGCATTACACGGAAGGGAGCTTGGCAGTGTGTGTGTGTGTGTGTGTGTGTGTGTGTGTGTGTGTGGTGCGTGAGCACGTGCGTACACGTACGTGGTCACGGCGACTAACGATCCACGACGCCGGGAGAATACACACGCTTACACATGCCGATTGTGGCGGAGCTGTTGCGTATAGTAGTGGCTCGGAAGGCGCGCAGCGGCGCGCGGCGATAAAACGATCCCCCTTTTTTTTCTGCTCCTTTTCCCTGTTTTTCCCTCTTGCTTTTTTCTCTTTTCGACTCCAACCGAGCCGAGTATCGATTATGCGCGCGCGCGGGACCATCGGCGACGGGAAACGCACGCGGGGGAGATTCGGGATGGCCGCGGCAGTGCGGATGATATCGATCGCTCGTTCGCTCGCTCGCAGAGACACACGACGAGACTCAATCCGCGTCTGAGCGGAAGACGTGAAAAGTCTTGGGACGCGATCGGGGCGGCGGCGGCGGCGGCGGTGGCGAGTTTTCTTCGCTCGACGCTTCGCGTTCCAAGCGGCGCCGCTCGCGATCACCTGCGAGACTCGCGGCGCGGCGGCAGTTTCCGCCGGTTGGGAATATAGATTCCAAAGACTAAGTCAACGGAGGAGGACCTTCGGCCGAGCGGGCGGCTCGCGCGCGAAAGGACGCGAACCGGCGAAGCGAGGCCGAAAAGCCGGCCGGCGCGCAAACGGGTGTCGCGGCCGCGCTCGAAAAATAGGATCGCGTGAGAGAACGAGAACCGGCGCGCGCGCGCGGCATAAATAAAGCGCGCGCTCCTTGCGCCGTTCCATTCCTATGTAAATGCGGCCGCGAGCGCGGATACGCAGCGACGACCAGATAATTTCACGGCGCGCGCGGTCTAATTTTAGCCGCGGCTCTCTCTCTCTCTCTCTCTCTCTCTCTCTCTCTCGCGGACATACGCCCGTAATGTCGCGACATTCGCGCGGCGCCGGCCGCGAGCGTGTCGCATTATCAATTCGAGTCGCGCGCCGCTCGCGCCGAATGTAAATGCGAGACAAATCCGAGAGATTCGCGGCCGCGCTCCGTTCGTTCGTCTTTTCTTCTCCCCTTCCCCTCGGCCTCGACGACTTCGCGCCGCGCCGCGCCGATTAATTGCGACGACCCGCTGGTGCATTTCTCGCGAGAGCGATCCCGCGATTCTGACGGGGCTTAACGAGCGCGATTCGCGCGGCGCGGCGGCGAGGTGACACTCGACGAGGAGCGATCGCGGACTGGATCGCGCGAGATAGTGCGCGCGGCAATAATGGTCCCCGGAATGATCCGGCAAGCTCTGGGTATAAAGAGTGGCTCGTTGATCCCGATCCTGATTCCGTATGCATCGTGCGCCCATTTACGTGACGTATACCTGGCCCGCGGAGATGCGGTCCTCATTTTTCACCGCCGCCGCCGCCGCGCCTGTGCTGCACGTCCGCCCGCGCGCGCGCGCGCGCGCTTTAGCTATGGGATTCACGTAAATTTGGTATATACGAGCCGTGGGACACATACAGGTATATATGGCGCGCGCGTACAACTGGAAGAGAACGAGCGAGCGAAAGGAAGGCAAGGGCCCGACCTTGCGCGCGTCGACCCGGGGAAAGTTTACAGAGTGCTACTGCCGCACGACGAAAGGGGTTGAAAGCTGGACCCGAGTCGACGGCGTCGGCGACGGCGACGACGACGACGACGACGACGACGACGACGACGACGACCCTTTATCCCTCCCTCGTTCTCTGAGAAATTGCGTTACATTTGATTCACGTCGGAATCGTTAGGGGTCTCGGCATCCCGAGATAGCGACCCACGTTTTTCAAACCGTCCTTGCCGTCTACCAAAGCACCCCATCTTCCGCGTCCCTCCCTTTCTCTCTTACTCTCCTCCTGCTGTACCTACCCTCCGCTTGTCTCCAATTTCAATTCGTAGCTTCTCCAGTTCGGCACGCGGTGGGCTTCTACGCCGGCTGCGTTCTACGCTGCTATGCGCTTCTCGTGTCACTCGCGCGCGTCATCTCAGGAATAATTCTGACTCTCGCTTGAATGCGCGTAATTTAAGTTTCGATACGGCGATAACAAAGTTGGCTTTTCGCCGGGCTGGAAGTCGTCACCGGCCTTTATATCCCCGAATATGTGACACGATATGATGATACAACATGACACGATATGACGATATATCATACGATATGTCATCGGGACGACAAACCAATCGTCATCATGTATCGCGTAAATGCAAACGGCCGCAGCAGGGAGCGGAGCGAGTTTCGGAGAGCCTGGAAAAAGTCGGGGCTCTCATTGAAAGCCCGTGTATTGGATGCGTATCTGTCGTGTCATCGTGTCACTTTGTTGTTAATAGCGGAAACCGCGCACATGTACGTGCAATGTGTACACATATAGATATCGCTTATTCATTAGCCGCTATATTCTTACGGTGGCGAAAGAATGGGTCCTATTCTTTTCATACGCAAATGCAGGGAGCGCGCACAAGGCGACTTTGGAAATATCCTCTCTCGGCGATAAAACAGATCAGTTTGATACATCTACCGTTTTCCCTCGCCCGAGAGACCTTTGAATAATTCCGAGGAATTCTTTCCCCTGTGAGACGCGCGTTTTGCAAGACGATGATCGTTGCCAAAGATCGCAGGCCGGAGCTGCTCGACGGAGCTTTCAGAAAGGATTCGTCCATGCACAAAAGAATTATTCGTCGAGCAATTGGCCTAATAAGAAAGAAAGAAAGAGAGAGAGGGAGAGGGGGGAGGGGTCCCGTGCTCTCCGCCGAGAATGCATTCTTGCTTTTTGTCCCGTTTCGAACTCGCTGCAACGAGAGCAGTTTCGACAATTTCGCTCTTGCACGCGCAATAGTCGTTTTTTCAATATATAATTCGATGCGCTATATAATTCGATGTGAAGTAAAAAGAAGGAGATACAAGTGGTCTACTTTCGTTCTTTTTTTCTTTTGAAAAAAAAAAGAAAAAGAAAGAAAGTACAAACGCGCTGATGCTCTCGTCCTCGTCCGGCCCGAGGTCGAGCGGCGGAAAAGTATCGTCAAGCTCACGATGGCGGCAAAGGGCGACGTTACGGGTCGCAGCAGCGCGATATGTTACCTTTCGCAAATACAATGGCGCATCGCCGGCTTGTCTGTTGCAGTGCTGCGAGACGAGTTCCGCGCGGAGCCGCAGAACACGAGAGTCGCCGCCGGGGAGACCGCGCTACTTGAGTGCGGACCACCTCGCGGCCATCCGGAGCCGACTCTCCATTGGAAGAGGAACGGTCACATAATAGACCTGGAAGCGACGAAACGGTGAGTCTTCTTTGTGCCGCGTCGCGACCGCGTGCGCTGCGCGTGTTGTCCCTTTGAATTCCCGGCATACCGAGATGCGACGAAATTGCGTTTGCCCGTTACGCGAAAAAGCGTAACGATTAAACGGGAGAGCGAGATCTCGTTTTGTGACAGTCCGCGAGCTGAGGACGGGCCTGCGAGAGAGAGAGAGAGAGAGAGAGAAGCGGCCTCTCATGACACTGCTCCTTCTCTCTTCTCTCCCCCTTCCTTTTCGGCAAGTTGCGCGTTCGATGAGAGGCAGCTGTCGCGCGGAAAGGAACAGGCTCTCTCTCTCGAGTCGATCCCGAGCGCGCGCGCGGGCGACGCCGTCGGCGAGTTTTCCGCGTCACGCGCACGAGATAGACGTGTAATTGAATATTAATCCACGAGCGATTGTAATTCGATTCTCTGTCGCTGGGTCGGCCGGCCGGTCGGCCCCGAGCGCGAAATGAAACAACAATAAGTATACTCTGTGCACAATTTGCGCGCGCGGACCCTTTAAAAGCGCGTCGCTCGCCCGCCCGCCCGCCGTCGCACCCGCGCTTGCAGCCGCCGGGCCGGCCCACCCCCGATTAAATTGCTCACACGAGCGTGTATGAGAGAGAGAGAGAGAGAGAGAGAGAGAGAGAGGGGTAGGGAGGGAACGAGAGAGACCATCTATATGAGAATTTCGCGCTGTATGTCTACGTAATAATGTCGCGGCGGTGAGAGCAACTTTTACGCTCGTGGGATTACGGCCAGGGGAATCTACTTTTATAGACGTCGAGCGAAAGAGAGAGTTGGAGAGGGAGGAGAGAGTGAGACGGGGCGAACGCGGGATTAACTTAATTCTAACAGCAACGCCGGTAAAAGGGCGCCGCCGGAGCAAAAAAAAATGGGGGAGAGAGAGAGAGGGAGAGAGAGAGAGAGAGAGAGAGAGAGAGAGAGAGAGAGAGAGAGAGAGAGAGAGAGAGAGAGAGGACAAAAAAAGAGAAAAGGAAATCGTATCAAACGCTGCCGCCAACACGCACCGTCGTCTACGTGCTCTCGCGCCTATCCTCATTCGTAAATCCGCGATTTACTTTGTGCCGGCGTGTGAATGCGCTCTACGCGGCTGAATAAGCGACTCGAATATTCTCGTAGACACCCGGCTTCCAGATTGTCACACTCTGAAACGTCCCAGTGGACGTTCGGCTCGAATGTAGCGACGACTCGCTACATCGCTCTCGGGACGGAAATGAGATTAATATCGCGCGGTTTCTATTTGCGGCGCCAACTCGGTCGGATCCGAATCTGCAATTTTTATTAGCCGGAACGTACGAATTCGTCGGATGGAGAGAGAAAGAGAGAAAGAAGAGTGTGGACACTCGCGCGTCGATAAAGTGTCACGTCGGAATGTGTCGTTTGACACGATAAATTATCCGTCAATACGCGTTATTATATCCGTAGATCTCCATACACGTTCCTTCCTTTTTTACTTGATATCCTACAAATCCTACGAAATAAAAGAACGAGCAGCAGCGAGGTGGGAGCGCAGGGCCGAGGAAGATCGATATACGGACCATGTTCCGTATTTATCTGTCGCTAGACGGCTCGCGCGCGGAAAAAGACTCGAGAGACTCGCAAATCGGCGGAATCGCGTATAAATTCAGCTCGCTAGGAATTTTCAACTGTTTCGCGCTCCCCCCGCCCCCCGTTCCATCACGTCGCCGGGATCGAGCTTTTAAGCGTAAGCGCGTACGCGTGCGCTCTCACGCACGCACACACGCACACGTAAGTACCCGCGGCAGGCACACACTTTCGCGCTCGCCATTCGTATCTCCGAACGACGACCGATTTTTCTCCCCGCCCTCCCGCGCCCCCGAGTCCCCGTGGATCGACTCGATCAAAGTTTCATGGGGCGCTGAACGCCTCTTAGTTTCGCCGTCTCCGTCCCTCTTGCGCGGAATGTCGACGGACCTACCTTCCTCCTCCTCCTCCTCCTCCTCCTCCTCCTCCGGCCCTCGTCCCGCGCGGTTGGAGAAACCGTCGGAGATAAAAAAAAATTCTTATTACGAAAGTTCCCAAATGTGCGCAGGGTGAAAAGTCGCCCGGTGAGATTTATCCGCGCTCTCGCGTCTCGCGTCCGACAGCGACAACGAAAGAGAGGAAACGTTCGGCGACACATCCGGGAAAATATAAATGTTTCGATCGGCCAATTATTCGTCGGTGTCGCGTCGGATTGTCGCGGCATCGCGATTTTCATCCCTTCGCCGTTGTCTACTCTCGTATAGCACAGCGGGGGCGGAAGTGGGGGCAAAGTTCCTCCGCGTGTACGGTTTATCGCGCTATTTTGTGTAATTACTCCCATTTACCGTGTGTCGTCTATACCGTATTGTACACCGTTGGCTTAACGCCTCCCGAGGGGACGCGCGGCATATAAGATAAACGATTTTCCCTTTTTCTTTCTCTCTTTCTTCCTTTCCTTCCCTTTCGGATTTCCAAGGGGATGAAGCTCCGACGCGGAACGGGAATGGAGACATTTTTTCTGCCGGCTCTCGTGCCTCGAAACGGTACGGTACGAAACGAGAAACGAAACGAAGCTCGTTCGCGCGCGCGCGCACACACACACACACACACACACACACACACATACGCACGTGTTCATTCGCTCACTCGCTCGCTCGCTCGCTCACTCGTTTCGACGGCTATTTTCCTCTCCTTCGTCTCGATCAATAGGTGCTCTCCTCCGTCGCGGCGCCCCACGTGGACCCGTCTCCGGTCCCCCCTTCCTTTCTCCTCCCCTTCCTCGCCGTCCCTCCTCTCCTCTTCCGGATTTACCGATAGAACCCCGAAGCCGCGATAAATTAGGACAACCGATAGGAATTAAATCCGGCCGTATCGGAACGCCGAGACCGCGCTTCGCTCTCTTCCTCCCCGCTCTCTTCGGAGCGAGGTAAAACGGAGAACAGCGAGAGAGCGACGGAAGAACGGAGAGCGAGATGGGGGAGCGAAGCGGCGAGCGAGAGGGAAGGAGAGAGGAGGAGGAGGAGGAGGTTAAGAGAGGAGGAGGTAATCGAACACCACCGGCGCGAAAATTAATTGACACTATAAATTAGAGACCGCGATCGAGAGCTATCGATCGATAGTGTGCGGCACGGCGCAGCGCGGCGCGTCGTCGCGAATGCTCTCCATATGCGAAATATGTGCGTACACCCCCGGTGAGACGGCCGTTTAATCTCGGAGGCGCCGAGGCAACGTGGAGAACGGAAGTGGCAGGGGGCAAGTGGGAGAGAAGTGGCTGGTAGGAATGTCAAGTACGCAGCCTTGAATACGTTTGCTCGCTTTACGCCCGCGCATAAATATAACAATATCGGATCGCGAATACGTGTTTACGGGGCCGCGCCGAAAGTCGATTCTCCGCGTTTCCGGTGAAACGCGCCTCGCATGCGAGCGCGTCGATGATATGATGGCCTCATGCGCCACATATCATATGCCGCTGTTACCTTTTTATATCGGGAGATGCAACTGGCACACACACACAGAGAGAGAGAGAGAGAGAGAGAGAGAGAACGGCCGTAATTTCTACCGAGACACACTTCCACGATGAGACATCGATTTCTACCGAGATCGATATCTCGGACTGATTTTGCTCGCGGTGCGATGAAATCGCGCGCGGCGTGCTCTTTTGAGGAAAATGGCGCGCGATTAACACGTCGCGACTCCGCCTCGATTTCCATGGACTGCGCGAAAAGAAACTCTCGACTGACGGATCGAATCGTCCGAGCCGGGAAATGGGAGAGAAATGCGATTCGAGACGCGTGCGCGTCTTTCAACTCGCTCATCGGGAAGAAAATTACGGACGCTGGTGCGCACTTTTCCTGTGCGCCAATTCCTCTCCTGTTTTAACGAAAAAAAAATATATATCACTCGTGACCACCGCGACGGCGTTCAACGTGCCGCGGACGTTAAATTTGTCGCCGAACCGACCGATGATTCGTCTCCGAAATTCCGCCTATAAATTTCGCCCGGCCGTGCGCCGATTTTACATTCGTCGTTTATTTACGAGGGATTATTAGATTCTCGACGCATAAAGATCCAACGCGCAACGGTCTGTTACGTCGGAGTGAATGTTTACATGTTGATAGATTGATTTAATATAACGCAATATGTATGTAAAATAATAGCAGTAAGCGATGTAATAATAACATAGCAGTAACGCTAATAACAATAACAAGACCGTGCAGTCGACGGAAGGTATATCCCGAAATCATTACGGCAAATCTCCCCCGTCCGGGTGCTCATTCTCTCTCTTTCTCTCTCTCTCTCTCTCTCTTCCTCTCCCTCTCTCTTTCACGGCGCTCTCGGTGCCGTCGAGCTTGTAGCAGGCGAGCGGAAATTAATCGTCGTAATTTTAGTCGCCGCCCTTATCGAATGGAAAACGTCTCGCATCTTGATTAATCGTTCATCGGGCCTTTCAGGATAACTCTCGTGGACGGGGGCAACCTGATGATATCCGACGTGAGGCAAACCGATCAGGGCAAATACCAGTGCATCGCCGAGAATATGGTCGGCGCCAAGGAGTCCGCGATAGCGACTCTCACGGTTCACGGTAAGAGCGATAAGTTATTACGCGAAACGCGCGCCGCGAGCGCAATCCCATTTCTCACGGCGGGCGACGCGACGACGAGGTGGAGAACGTGTGTCCGTCCGTCCGTGTGTTTACTTGTCATTTATGTGCGATTGTGCATACGTCGAGAGCTCGCGAGAGATCGGCCGGGCCTTCTCTCGACACGCTCGTTTCATCGATAGCAGCGGAAATATGCAACCGAGGGAAAATCACTTCTTCACCTCGACGCAAACTGCAGCAGTCATTCCCCCGGTGTCAGGTATCTTTTTTCCTTGTTCCTGCAAAACGTAAGAGCAGCGTATCAGCAAGACTACACTGCAAACCCGAGTGTGTTATTTTGACGCGTATAAGCTGAAGCTTCCTTTACGCGTGTCTTGTCGTCTTAAATCACACGTCGTTTAACGCGTTTAAACGCGTTAAGTGATATCGAAATGCATCAAATGACGTGATTTCAGACGACAAGAAACGCGTGAAGAAAGCTTCAGCTTATACCCGACTAGAAATTTATCCCATGGTCCTGATCAGGTTAACCTCATTTGGACATTGGATCCCAATAAGGTAATACTATCGGGTCCTAGTAAGTCATGTAATGCAGCGTGGATATCAGGACCTTAGTAAGGATTCATAGTCAGGTCCTTATTGAGTTACCTTATGGAATCCTTGTTACGTTTTTTTTTCTTTTTCCAATTATGGCTCCTGATTACTCGCCACGGCTAGATTGGATGATGACATTGGAAATAAGAAATGACACGCTGAAAATTCTTTCATGTCATTTCTTTCCATATAAAAAGATATTTGCATGAAATAATATTTTAGATCGCTTATTTGTAAAAGAATACTTGTAAAATGTTTCGGAAAAGAAACATAAAATGAATATCACAAGTTCATAAAGTATCACAAGGTGACGAGACATAAAGTAGTGTTAGAGAGAAAAAGTTGCATCGTCACGTTAATTTTACAACTCTTTATTGACTGCTAAAAAAAGAATAGTTTCTACAACATTTTACAAATATATTCAAGTGATCTGAAATGTTTTTTCAATGCAAACATCTTTATATTTGGAAATGACACCCAAAAATTGTTTTGTTAAAACATGATAATGCAAATCATATTAGGCACAATGAATAAGATCCCAACAAGGACCTGATTAACTGAACCATATTATATCATACACTGGGTTGGTACATTAAGTGTACTACCTAATGCGGACCCAATCATTATAACCTCATAAAGGTCTTCCTTACTCATTTGTCGTTAGAACATTTTAAGGATTGACTTGCTTAGGATTACCTTCCATTCACCCTATTAGGTCCTTATCAATGTTAGGTGAAATGAGGTACTGATCAAAATTTCTAGTCGGATACGTGTCAAAATAACACACTCGGGTTTGCATTTTACGTCTACCACGCAGGAGTGCTCGCAGCCGGCTGCAATCGCCACACCGCGCAATTTTCGTCACAAACACCCGATACTTTTCCCTCTCAGGGCGCACACCGTGTGCCTCGCCCACCGATTTCCGCCATTGCACGGCTAATTATCCGACTCCACCTGCGCGAGATGACTTCTCGAGCCTGCTTCACCGCGACGACCCGACAACCTTCCGCAAGTTCCTGATATACGCAATACACACAAATCCCACCTCTCAGCAGTCGCGGCGTCTTAAATCGATAGTAATCGAGCTGCCGCGGTGATGGCATCGCGCGCGCGCGCGCGTGTGTGTATGTGTGTGTGTGTGTGTGTGCGTGTGGGTTTGGAGATTCGATGAAAAGCCGCGAGCAAAAAGACCGGAGAGGGCCAGCTCACCGGGAGGAGACGCCGTCGCGTTCCGTGATATCAGAGCTCCGCCAAATCCTCGCTCTGTCTTGCAGTGAAGCCGTTCTTCTTAACCACGCCGTCGAACCAGACGATCCTCACGGATCAGACGGCGGAATTCGCCTGCAGGGTGGGCGGCGACCCACCGCCGGAGATCCTGTGGCGGCGGAGCGACGGCAAGATGCCCATAGGTAGGGCGCACATCCTGGACGACAAGAGTCTACGCATCGAGCGGGTGAATCCCCAAGATCACGGCACGTACATCTGCCAGGCCGAGAACGGCGTCGGCACCATATCAGCGAGCGCCACTCTTACCGTGCATTGTGAGTAGCTAATCTCCCCCCCCGTCCCCATCCCACTCCCCGCTCTCTCTCCACCTATCCATCTCCGTCCCACTTCCTCTTCCTTCCGCGGCCTGCTCGAGCAGCGACCGCTCGACCGTGAAATTAATTACGCGCGCTCGCGCTCGGTAAGCGCTCACGACGCTTAACGAAGGAAGGGGGTTTGGCTGAAGGCCGAGGGCTGAAGACGAGCGCGTATTATTGCGGCGTATTCAGCGCCGAATGTACGCCTCGACTTCCGATCGGCCTGCACGTGGACCGGAGGAAAATCACCCTCCAACCACCGAGTCGTCGTCGAGGAAGCACGGGAGAAGATGTCGCGAGAGAAGCGCAATCGTCGGCACTTTGCGCGCTCGAGTCGCGAGGGGGAGAGAGTTGCCGCGGGGATTCGCGGTGGATTCGTGTCGCTTGTTCCGGGAAATCAATAGGTTCGATACCCCGGTAATTTCGCATGAAATTCGAATTCTGCCGGCGATGGCGTTAATCGCGGATTAAACTGGCTGGCGGCGGCGGCGACGGTATGTCTTCTTAATTAGCCGCGTCGGCTTAACGCGCCATCGCCGATTTACGGGTATTAGCCAAATTAAAATAATTTAGCGCGGCATCGTTAGTCGACGGGTAGCCCTCCCCCCCTCGCCCCCCCGCCGTGTGTCCCGTATAATCGATGTGTAAAGCAAGATGGGCGATTCGCGGCCGGCCGGCCGGCCGGCTCGCCGGTCGAAAAATCACAGATCGGCGATCAAAGCGCCGCGGGCGGCTTCTACCGGGCGACGACTCTCGGGATCTGCGATGCGGGAGCTGCACGAGGAAGCAAGCGGGGCTGATATGTCGCGCTCTGTGTCGAATTTCATTCGTTTGTCACAGCGAAGCCAGTATTCACCAACTTCCCCAAGGACGAGACGGTGAGCGCCGGCACCGACGTCACCATCTCGTGCGCGGCTCGCGGCGCCCCGAAGCCGTCGATATTCTGGACCCGGGAGGGCTCTCAGGAGCTAATGTTCCCCGGCAACACGTATCAAAGCCATTACACCGTCACGGAAGACGGAAGCCTGAGTATCAAGGCCACCGTCAGGAAAGACGAAGGCCACTACGTGTGCAGCGCCATCAGTCAGGCCGGTGCTAGCACCGCGACCGTATTTCTTCAGGTACGAGCCTTACGAGTTGATACACAAGCACATCTCTCCCGCCAAGGAGTCTCAAACTCGAATGGTGAACGAAGACTCGATGGTCGCGCGCGCGAATATTCAAACGCGCCGATCGTCTCCTTCTCCGCGGGGATGATCGATCGATCGAGAGAGAGAGAGAGAGAGAGAGAGAGAGAGAGAGAGAGAGAGAGAGAGAATGTTACACAAAGCCTAGTTATAAATTGAAACTTTTTTATTCGCGTTTAACATGTAAATTAACATATCACTTTCAAGAGTACCGTTCGAAAAGTACAATTGAATTAAATGGATATTGGTTTCCGGCACAATGACTTTATTTAACTAGCGAAAACTTTTGTGAAACAAACGTATCGATATTTGAACGATCATTTTATACGATAATTTTTTCAATTCAATAAGTTTCAAAATTCAACAAGTTACTTTTATATTTTACACTTCATTTCCTCCTGGAAATTGCGTCATTTATTTTTACAATTAAAAACTGTTTAACAAATGTTTATTGCGACAATTATCTTTTTCTCTTCGAATCTCAGAGTTGGAAGATTTCCGTATCATTGCATCGACTGCGGCGAAGTTACTTTGCAAAAATTCGTCGCTGAGACGTTAGACCACGAGAAAACATTTTTATCGCGCATGCAAAGCCTGATTATTCTCACTTGAGGATTAAATGAGAACAAGTCCAGAGAAATATCGGCGCATAATTTACGGTCTCGTTGCGCTCTCTCTCTCTCTCTCTCTCCTTATCTCTCAGAATTATTCCAAACGCACGAAATTAACACGCGCGGTATCATCGGGATTGCATCCTCCCCCCCTAATTAACGATAATTGCGCGTGGCGTGTCTGTTGTCTCGACGACACACAGCGATGATCGTTATAATGGCGTAAACTGGACGATAATTGGCCGTTCACGTCGCGCGCTCATTTGTCGTGCCCGCGCGTGCAGCAAAACGCGAAAACGACGAGAACGCTCGAAACGGCGGCAGTCACGGCTAAGATAAATCCCGTCCGCGCGCGCGCGCGCGCGAGAGAGAGAGAGAGAGAGAGAGAGACGAGTGGTATGCACATTAAGTACTTCGTTTTCGCGATACATATTTATATCATTGCCCGGCTCGCGCCCCGCCCTGCCGTCAGATCTCTTCCGGACGAGTGCAGCAGGATTACCATTCCGACCGCCCGACTACATCGTGCTGGTACCGCGCGCTGCTTAGCCCGAGGGCAGAGCTGCTCCAGATTCCGAATAAAATCCTTGTCTACATATAGAGGGTGTTACAGCGATCAACTTTGGCGGATAGAACTCCGTAACTTGGTTGCCGACGGAGCGGCCAAAGTTGAAAGATGTAATATATTATAGAGGAGGAGAGTGTGAGAGAGAGAGAGAGAGAGAGAGAGAGAGAGAGAGAGAGAGAGAGAGAGAGAGAAAAAGAACTTCACTCTGGATTACATATTGCGAGCAAAGTTGGCAGAGGCAATATTCGCTTAATTCAGTGGTCGAGTATCGCAAACTCGCCGGCCAACTTGGGCCTCGCCTCCCTCCGATACCCGGGGATATTAAAACGAGGGATTAATATGGATCGCGGACGGTCGGAAATTCGAGAAAACACTCGTTCGGTCGCGAATCGAACGAGTCCGCGTGCGCCGCGTGTTGTAACAGCCGTCACTTGAGATTCCGTCAAATTTGAATCTCGAGTCATCTGAGATTCTCGCTTTAAAATCATATTTGTAAGAATAACTTACACCCGAATCCGAAGAGACTCACACACGTAAAACTTGAAATTAAAACGCGAGCTCGTGTCAGTCGAAGTCACTTTCGGGCGACCTATATTAAGCCAGAACGTCAGACCTGGATTTAGGAGATAGATTTCATTGAGTCGCATAATTCTAACTCGAAATTGAAATCTCGATATCTCGCGAGTGCCAAAAGTGACTGCTAATACCAATCTCAGATCTGAATTTAAATCCAACGATCATAATCTCCCAAAGCTAAATTCTGCAATGTACCGTATTAAACGATTTGCAGTCGCTTTTCTACGAGCGATTTATACTGACTCCAAACTCCAGTCCGACTGGGTCCCACGTGAACCAGGCACAACCCGAGCAACCCGACCACCACCGGGCCACTCGACCCTGCTGTTTTTTTCGACAAAGCCGACGCCTCTTCGATAAAGGCACTCGAGTCGCGCGAAGTCGTGGCCTAAAGTAGGCGTTTCCGAGATTTCACGTCACCGGCGTCTAAGAGTCCACAATCGCAGAGATAAGCGCTCAGAGGCAGAGGCGGTGGCACTTGGCCAAAGGGTAGAGAGCGCTGCGGAGATCCGAGAGATCTCACGAGAGAGAGAGAGAGAGAGAGAGAGAGAGAGAGAGAGAGAGAGAGAGCAAAGAGGAATCAGCGTGTCTCTCTGTTCGTAACGTAGGTGACGTCCGTGGAGGAGACGCCGCCGCCCATAATCGAGCTGGGGCCCGCGAACCAGACGCTGCCGCTGAAGAGCGTCGCCTCGTTGCCGTGCCGCGCGGTCGGTACACCCACGCCGCGGGTTCACTGGCACAAGGAAGGCGTGCTCGTACGGCCCGGCGGCCGTATCACGATGGCCATCAACGGCACGCTGTTTATCGACGACCTGCGCTCCAACGACTCCGGACTGTACACCTGCATCGCCTCGTCCGAGTCCGGCAACACGTCCTGGTCGGCGTACCTGACGGTGAGTGCCGGCGCGAGCTTCCACAGAACGCCCGACATATCGGCCCTGCCGCAGAACCCGAGCAAGCCGCGGATAGTGAACGCCACCAGCAATTCCGTCACCCTCACGTGGAGCCCGGGTCACGAGGGTCAGAGCAAGATCCTCGGCTACAACGTCGAGTACTACAGCAGCAACCTGAACACCGGCTGGGTGGTGGCGGCCACTGGTGTTCTCGACGACATCTATACGGTGAGTGGAGTGAGTTGGAAACGGCGACGCGATGCTTGTTGACCCTCTTTCCCGATATACCTGTGTGTGTGTGTATGTGTGTGTGTGTGTGTGTGTGTATATGTATGTTCCACGTCGGGTTTCAACGACCTCTCCACGAGACGGTATTTTCCGTTTTCCTCGTGGTAGCGTATATACCTGCTCGAGGAGAGTGTTTCGGAGAGCGAGAGAGAGAGAGAGAGAGAGAGAGAGAGAGAGAGAGAGAGAGAGAGAGAGAGAGAGAGAGAGAGAGAGAGAGACAGGGGGAAGGGCAGAGAAGAGGAGACCCGTGGCCGGTGGAGACAGTTGATGACATTTCGCGACGGTTGCTAATTAATGTATCGTCGGTCGGGAGGAAAGTTGCAGCACTCTTATCCCGATGAGGCTCGGAACGTTTTCGGTATTCAACCGGGGAATTTGTTCGCCCGTGATTCTTGGAGGATTAATTTCCCCGCCGAGACCGCCGGACGCGTTCTGGAGCTCATCGAGGCGGAAGCGTTTGCAACAAGTGTTTCTTCCACTGACTTGTGGAAACGCAAATCGCTCGCCTCCGTACTTGAAATATCCGGGAACTATTCGAAGAACGATATTCACGGTCCAATCTTATATTTAAGGCAGTTTAGTTTCACTTTAAAACGTTCCGCGCAGCCACGAGACGGTTCTTGCCGCACTTTAAGATAAAGTCGAGACGACCGATTAAGTATAAAATTGAATGACGTACTAATATTCTAAATAATCGTGTGGATATGCGATTTCTCGCGGAACGAGGAAATTGGAAAAGTTCAATTTTCGCCCGTCATCGCGGCCCCCCCCCTCCCTCCCCCCCCCCGTTTACGTACGTCTATGTCCTGAATGTAAATCGAACTCGAATGTATATCGCTTATCCGCCAACAGGTGACAGATTTAAGGCCGGAGACCAATTACGTCTTCCTAGTACGAGCGGAAAATAGCCACGGGCTCTCGCTACCCGGGCCGCTGTCCGACGTGGTGCAAACTACTAACGTAAATCAGCATACGGTACCGCAAGTGGAACTGACTCGTGCGAGAGATCGGCTAAACAGCGAGATTTTACATCTCAAAGAGGTGCAAGCGCTGAGCAGCACGAGCGTAAAGATCATGTGGGACGTAAGTGTCAATGTCGACACCCGTCGTTTTCGCGCGCGAAGACATCTGCTATCTAGCGTCTGCTATCTAGCGGGTGGAACGTGGCAAAATTCTCGGAACAAAAGAAAAAAATATATATATATATATATATACTCTCTGCTGAAAAAGTACCCGGACAAGTATCGGCAATAAAACACAAAATATTCTCAATTATTCAAGTAAATTTATGTTGTCGTTTTCAAAATATTAGTTAATAGTTGCCGTTCTGTGCAACATCTATGTCACCAGCGCTTAGTCGCCAATCTTCAAGACATTTTCCATAAGCCGATTTTGACATGGCCTTGAGTTCCTTCAGCGAATTCTCTTCTACCGCCTCGGTCGTTTCAAAACCCTGTATTTTTGAAATACAGTTATACCCGTATGCTTTTTGCAGCATTTTCAACGCGTCGGCACAAGAAATTTCGTTGAAAACACAAAATTTAAGGCAAACTCTTAGTTCCGCGATATATTCGACATCGCAAAAATTGCACCTGAGGCCGACTGACATGAACAGCTGCGAACAGCCACGAACGAAGCAACTGACAGATCGTGTTCTAATACGGTATGGAAGTTAAGTACACAATGGTGCCAACTTAACTACAAAAAGGGTTTTGAAAAAATAATAAACGCATCATTTAATTGAATAATCTCGGGTGTTTTTTTGAGCGGAAGATATATATATATATATACTCGCAATACAGAGAAAGAGAGGTATCGATTCTCCACCCGTGTTTTATTTGAGCAGATATTTAATCCAGAGCCCCGCGATATTTAATATTAGAAGCGAATCGAATGGTGGTGGCAATTATAGAATTATAGACTTCCGTTCAACTTTCTTGACGTATTAATAATTGTCGTGTTTAGTCCGCGTTTCCGCGCGAGTACAGAAAAGAGATATCAAAGGCACGCTAAAGGAATGAAATTCGAGAGGTGCGCATGTCGCATTTTATCTCGCCTCATCTGTTTCCTGTCGATCGTATTCTTCAAACCGGCTCTTCAAACGCGACTTATTATATTTTACAAACGCGTAACTGAATTATCGTAGTGTCAGTCGCCGATATGATACTATCGGCGCCACTCGACACGCGTTAATATTAGATGAATTGAAGAAGATGTACTGAAGAAAATTACGGAATTGTGAAATTGCGCGCTCTTAAATTTCCCCACAATGAGAGAGAGATCACGTAGGAGAAAGAGAGAGAGAGAGAGAGATCCGCGAAGGACGAACGCGCGACATTCGCGAGACGTCCCCGACAATCCGAGTAACTCGTGCGGAATTTGCATTTTAGATCCTCGGTGCGGCGGATCTAGTGGAAGGTCTTTATATACGGTATCGCGAGGTATCTGAGAAACCGGAATATCAGATGGTCACGGTGCTCAACGCCGGCGCCACCAGTTACGTGCTGGCCAGCCTAAGAAAGTACTCGCGTTACGAGTTCTTTCTCGTTCCCTTCTACAAGATTATCGAGGGCCGACCGAGCAACGTGAAGCTGGCCACCACGATGGAGGACGTGCCCTCGGGCGCACCTGAGAACGTCCACGTGGGCATGATAAACATGACCTCGGCGTACGTTCGGTGGTCACCGCCGCCCAAGAACACTCAGAACGGCCAATTGATCGGTTACAAGGTAAGAACCGCGCGCGCGCGCAAGAGAGAGAGAGAGAGAGAGCGATTAATCCTTTATTGCGCGTTTTTGCTGAATTTCCGTACATGGGGTGTCTTGAGAGTAAGGGGAAAAATGGTTGCATACTTGTGTCATTCACGTAAAAATGTTGAACGAATCAATTGTGAAATACGAGAGAAATATAGAAAAGCCGCGAAGAAATAAGCGTCCCACTGTGCAACAAAGGGTTAATATCCGGTTCGTTGACGTTCGTGCGCATGATACCCGAGCGAAAACCTCACAACCCACAGATCCAGATCAAGAGCAACAGCAGCAACAAGATCCTAGGTCAAATGTCGCTGAACGCGTCCACGACGTCGGTGATCATCAACAGCCTCAACACCGGCGGACTGTACACGGCGCGGGTGGCCGGGCTGACGCGCATCGGACTCGGCCCCTTTTCCAGCCCGACGTTGCTGAACATGGACCCGGGACAATTGACGCAACTGCCACCGCGCACCGACCCCAGCCACGGGGACGCTTCGGTCGTACGAGAGACGTGGTTTCTGGTGCTGATGATCACGATGGTGTTCACCGTGATCGCCGTGTTGCTGGCCGCCTTGTACGTCAGGCGCAGGCAAGCAATGAGCAAGCAACTGGGCCACCTGAACGTGCCCGTGGGCACGGCGAACGACATCTGCCAATTGAACAAAGACACCCTGTGGCTGGAGCGCGGCTGGAGACCGACTAACAACACCCTCCAGGGCACCACCGACAAAGACTGCGAGACCAAGCTGTTGAGCAATCAGCACATGCTCGCTGCCGGCATAATGGGCATGGCCGGCTCGGAATACGCCGAGGTGAATCTCACGACGTTCTACAACACGCGCAAACAGATGCAGGCGCCACCTCCGGAGCCGTATGCTACCACAACCCTGTGCGTAGGCAGCCGCAGTCCCGACTCGATCGAGACCAGCGGTCAGAAATCCAATTCGAGCGACTCGTGCCTGAAACCGGACTACTCGAGCTTGGACTCGAATCAGGAGCCCAACAACAAGTCCACGGTGTCACCTAGTAGCGACAACATGAGCGCCGGCGCCTACACGGACGAGAACGCGGATGTGCAAAGGCGGCAATACAGAATAGCCGGCGCGAGCGGCGACGCGCCCTCGCAAACAGCTATGCCTAACTGGTGCGACATGTTGCCACCGCCGCCTGAGCACCCGCCTCCGCTCAGCGGCTCGATAGTCGGTCGGATGCATCAGCATCAGCATTCGCAGCAACAACAGCAGCAGCAGCAGCAGCAGCAAGTGCCGTTCAGTCCGCATCTTGGCAAGAGAAGCGTTCAGAACGACCTGGACCACTGCGGCTCCGGCTCCGGCTCCGGCAATTCGCAGAGCCCGCCCACTCCGCCCATCAGGGTGACCAACAGTTTCAGTCCGTCGCCTACACCTTGGAACGGGCAAAGCCAGTATGAGCCGGGCGCTCTCCAAGTGCCGGGTGCTAACCTCTCGGTTCAACAAGGCAGATACACGACGTTACCGCCGCAGACAAACCCGCCGCCGTTGCCCTCGTTCCCTCAGGGTTACAATCATTACGACTATAAGAACCAGGAGAACGAGTACGAGAGCGGCTCGGTCATCTACGGCCATCAGAACGGCCTACCCGACGACTACGGCGCCCACGAGGCCGGGTTCGCGCGCTCCAGCCAGCCGCATCTGACCTCGTCGGCGGCGAGTGACGATCTATACCGGCACAAGGACGAGATGTTCCACAACGACAATCTGTACCAGCCCGAGAACGACGAGTGGGACAGGAAGTCCTGCGACTCCAACACGCACTCGGACGCGTGCTGCTCGTGCTCGGAGTCGAGTTGCCTGTACGCCGACACGATCGAGTACAACAACGCGCAGTTTGGCACCGCGTGCGGCCACAGCGCCGCCAGCAGGACGGGCTCCCGCAGCAGGAGCAACAGGAGTCCGCGGAGAAGAAACAGAACGTCCTCGCCCACGTACAGCAGCGACAGCAACTACTCCTGCATCCCGCAGAAGCAATGCGGAAGCACGAATTCGCAGGAGAGATTGAGGCATAATCGCAGCAAAGGTAATTATCCCGGGCGATCGGGCAATGGGAAGAGAGGAGCGAAAAGACGGAGGTTAGGAGTTGGCTTTGCGAAGGTGACTCGTTACGGCTGATTCGTCTTGAGAGATAATTCCTCCAATAATAGAGAAACGAATTCTTTAGAGTTAGGGCAAGAGCACAGGCTTTTGCATAACACATAATACATAACACATAAGAGAATAAACCAATTGGTTTTCTTCATTTCCCTCCTCAGGACAGAAATGAAGAACTCTGATTGATTGATTGATTCTCTTATGCGTTATGCAGAAGTCTGTGCTTTGGCCCTTACCGTTCGAGTTATCCGTTTCCGTTAACTTCCGCTTAATGAAACGAAACAAAAAGGACGAACAACGTCCTCAGCAGGTCGCGCACCGCTGAGAGAAAGTAATCCGGTATAGTGTATTGACGGTGCTTTACAAGTAACTCGCTGTTACCTAACCTCGTTGACGGCCTATGTAAGAAATATCCGGGTATAAAAGTCCTCCGGCTGGAAAGTCGCCGGAACAATCGACGAAGCTTATTGACGCGCCTCCTACATCGTTCCTTTGCTCTCTTTTTTTTCCAGACAAACTGCCGGGCTTCTCAAGGACGGCTGGTTACACCCAGCACAATTCCTCGGCCTCCAACACGATGAGCAGTACAGGCAGTCAGCGATACAATAAGCTAAATAGTATCTTTCTAAGTGGCAATAATCCGAACGCTCCGACGGAGTCTAGTCGACTGGGTGAGCACCGTGGCGAGAGCTAAATTCCCCGGGCACTAGTAAGTACCGGAGGAACGGGAGACTACGACGACGACGACGAAGAGGAAGACGAAGAGGACGGAAGGGACTAGTGTGCCTGAACGAACGGCCTTCGGTCACAACGAACGGATCAGAAGCGGGCGCGCTCAAGCTCGCGCGCACGCGAGAGGAGGCCGTTTCGCAGTCAGAGCTACGTCGCGCTCGCGAGTACGGCTCGACCGTTTACGCTTGTATACAATTGTAGTCGAGACACTTGGTGGAACCCGCGGGCGCTGCGCACCGCGCGATTCGATTCGTCGAGTTCAAGACACGCGCGGCTCGCCCAGCTGCAACGCGCGGAACACACGCGTTCGAAGAAACGATCAGGCTCGCGTCTCGAGTAAGCCTCCTTAACGTAAAATCCATCGATAAGAAGGCTAACATGAGACAACCCGCGCGAGACACTCGGATGACTGACGGAGACCTGGGTGGGGAAGAAGCGGGAGGGGGTTCTTTACGTTCAGCCGCGATCGCACGGCTACGAGAGAGACACCATGGCTTAAGCTTCGCAGGGGTATACAGCCTAATTCCCGCGTTCGTGCGGCGCGCAATAACGGTCCTCTGCCACGGGCAAGAAGAGCGCGACTTGGAGAGGTGAGAGGAGAAGAGGGAGAGACTTCGACGCGCGCGACAGTAGCGATTACGGCGAGAAGCGCTTCGATGACCACGCTGATGGGTACTCCCTCCCTCCCCCCTCCCCCCTCCCCACCTCTGTTATACATATATATATATAAATACACGCGTCGCACTCGATCGAGTTTGTTGGCATACTCGGACAAGGGCTTTCAAGAAACAAATAAAAAAAAGATCGCGAGGAGGAGGAGGCAGCGGCGGTGGCGGCGGCGACGGCGGCGTGCGCGTAGTATTAATTTTCCCTTCGGGCGAACTTCGAGCCAAATAGACTGATTAACGTTATATCATCCGGACGCTTGCTTGGTCTCTTTGCGTTGCGCGTTTTTCGTTCATACGACTTGACGCCGGCGAGAAGCGCGCGAGAGACGCGATCCCGATTATCGAGCAATACTAGGGAGGAGAGGAAGAGGAGGAGGAGTAGGCGCGCGCGGGTGAGCTTCTCTCGCGAGGGGAATCGCGAGCGCGATTTGTTCTATCGCCCCTTATATACGAATGACGAGGAATTTGGATTTCCCGAGCGGCTACGCCGAGGAGTGTACGTGTGCGTGTGTATGCGTGTGTAACGTAATCGTTTCTACGCTCTCGACTGCCATATTATACTGCCATTCCCGCTGATATCCTGCGCGCATCGAGTAAGGATACTCTAAGGTTAGTTTAATTAAGTTATTTCTCGCGCACGCTCTTTTGGAAATAATCGCCTAGTTTCAGCTCGAGCGCCGGAGACGCTGTGTGAGAGAGAGAGAGAGAGAGAGAATGTGTGTGTGTGTGTGTGTGTGTGTGTGAGAGAGAGAGAGGCACCAGACGACGACGACGACGTCGAAGGTCCTCGCGCGCAGCCGCTGTGGGATTAAAATATTTAAAGCGCACGAGTGTCAGCGCGTGGACGTTTCAAAGACTTTTCGACACGGCGATAGCGCAAACGGAAAGAGAAGGAGGGAAAGAGAGAAGAGAAGAGAAAGAAGATGAGAACACACGGGTAACGGGTCCCCGTGAATAACGGACTAGGTGCGCTCGGGACGCGAACAAAGGACTCGTGTCGCGCAAGGCGCGCGTATGGATTAGGCAAATAGAGCTCGTCGCAATTCGCCGACGCGGGAGATAATCCTTTCGTTACGACGGCTTACGATATAGCTCCGCTCTCCGGCCGAAAAGTCTCTCGACACACCGCTGTCGCAAGACCGAAAAGTAATCTCGCGACCGGCGGAGATACAGCACGCGCGCGCGCGCGCACGGAGCCGCTAAACGAGTTCCTGCGATGCTAAGCCCGTCGCGGCAATATCTCTCACTGCCGTCGGAGAAGCCGCTCTGGTTTCGATTAAATTTTCGTTGATTTTAATATTGCGCGACGTTTTATTACTATTGAGATCAATGGCCTCGTATTTTACGCTCGACGCGGACGGTTGTTGTTGCTGTTTCGAGCGCTCGGCGAGAATATGCTCCGGCAGGTGTTGATAGTCGTGGCGAGAGGATTAACACGTCGCGCTCGCGATAAGAGACTATTCGCGCTCGACCGACCGATCTTTTACCGTTGTAAAGTGTGGCATTTATTTTCGACTGCCTGTACATTTCTGGCCACGACAAATGGAGCATATATTATTTTGGATATAACGTTCCTAAATCCTAAGGCGACCGAGGGCTAATTTCTACAAACGGCGACGTATAATTCTTCCAAAACGAACGCACGTAGTAATACACGTTAAACGAAACGAAGTAACAATAAACGCGGAATATACATATATATATATACATAATTATCATATCACTTATGCGATCCCTGTATAAAGTGTACAAAGCTACTCTAAACGAGAGTTAGTCATTAGTTATTAATTTATACGCCGTATCAATCGAACTTATACTACGTAAGCGGGAGAGAGAGAGAGAGAAGGGCGGGAAGGAGAGGAAGAAACGAGAAAAAGACGAGATATCTCAATGTGTACTCCATTAATAGCACGCGAGTGAGGGAGAATGTTTTCTCGCCGGAGGAAAAATGTGCGCTTCGAAGCTGTCAACGATACCGCCGGGTGTAAAAAAAAACGTCTCGTTCTCGAATGCGCGTACCTGACTCTCCGATTTCATCGAACATCTCCTTCGCCATCAACGCGGTCTAATTCGTCCTTGCGGAACGGAATCATACACGGAAGGAAAATCTCAATTCCCCAATAGAGCGAGCAGACGAAAGCTCTCAGGAGACGACTTATCTGTCCACCCACTACCGCGAGCGGAAGCCCGCGTCTGAGCATCCGACTGCTGAAAAACTCGCCTCGGACAACTAAGAGGATAATTAAGTACGATCTCGTGTGCGAAATCTCCAGACGGAGGAAAATCCGTTTGTAGGGGCAGAAAAATTCCCATTAGAGGGACTTTCTCAACCAGCCCATCGCCGCCGGTTGCCTCAACCGAGTTCCTCGAGCAGCCAAATGCTTAGACGAGTGCCTCCGCGACAGCAAGGATATTATTATTACATCCGAGTCGTGAGCTTCCGTCTGGTCGCCGTTTAGTTACGCGAACCGAGGTCTCCTCTTCCGTGCGGACACCGTGATGAGAGAGACCTATGTAACACGGTATACGCTGCACCAACGTGCGATAAATCATAGAAATTTGTTCATGCCGGCTGTTTTTCGTCGTCAGCGTGTTATCATTGCCGTCGGAGCTAGCGTTTTCAGCGAGGATAAAGGAGATTCGTCACCTCACTGCGCACAGCCAGATCTGTCGCGGCAGATTTTGCGAAGTGTTCGCGCGCGACTCTGCTGGCAGCACGCCAGCGGGAAGCCTAACAGGAAACCGCTTAACGGAGTGCAGCAATGAGCAGAATCCGGCGTTTCGTAATCGTTTAAACGCGTTTAAGCGGAATATACTACTACGGCGGACTCCCCGCTCGCATCCCCGCCGTTGGCCCACTTCCGAGCGCGAACTTAACGGCTGATGCACCGTGATACTCCGGACGAACTGCTGCCAAGCTGCCAGCGAGAGACCGTCGACACTTGACTTATCTGCCGGATAAGAAAGACAGTTGTTGAAGCGGACACTAGGAGTAGCGAAAGCGACAACGCGCGTTTTAGCGACTCGTACTTTCAAAGCGATACTTAAGCTCTTCTATTTTTTCTCACTGTACGTTCGTCGTCCGACTGTGCGGATCGCCGAGCTTCGATCGTCGAGAAGCCGCGGCCAACAAAGTACAGTCTGTAAAGTAAGAGCGTGCACGGGTTAATGTGTAGAAAAATTTATTTTTAATGATTTTTAAGTACATGGATTTGTTGTACTCCATGAGAAGAAAAATGCTATACCATTAATAATGAGTCCAGTCAGCACCGGCATTGATAATTGCCTGGCATCTCCGAGGCGTACTTTCCACTAAATTGACTGCGTATTCGTTCGGTAAAGACCTCCAAATGAGACGAATTTGTCGTGCCAGCTGCTTCAAAGTGCACACTCTTTTTCCTCGAAGCTTGTGCTTGAGATATACCCACACATTTTTAATAAGATTTGCATCTGGCGACTGCGATGGCTAATAAAGTGTGACGACGCCAGACTGCTCTTTCCACTCGGTGCAAAGCTTGCTCCGGTGTTTTGGGTCGTTGTCTTCCTGTAAGATCCAGTCCTCGTTTTTTTTTATGAAGCATCGTTCAACAGTCGGCAACAAACACTTCTCATAAATTTTAAGTATTAAGGTCGGGTTCCGCTTAAACAAATTCACAATTTTTTTTTCCATATTCGGCGTCACTTTGCCTATCGAGTCACGTTTTGGCAAGTCATCGACATTTTTAATCTTCTTATATTGCTGAACCCACTTAGCGACGAACGATTTTGACTTTCCCATGTATTTAGCAGCCACTGCATATGACATTTTTGGTCCTTTGGGGTGGGAACAAAGGAACACAGCCTCGTAGCGCGATGCGTACGCGACACTCATGGCGGTTAACGTGTTTCTCAGGTTAGAGTTCGACGCCAACTGAATCTTTTGTGACAAAGCATTCGCGACAATGATTTCATCTATCGGCTCGCAAAAAAACTAAGACGAATATTTGAAGCCAACTACCATTTATGCCGTACACGCTCTTACTTTACAGACTGTACTTTCTGTATTGGAGAACACCAGTGTGTCGAGAGAGCACGCGTCGAAGGACGAGGGAATCGCGCGAAAGCCGTGCAAAAGCCGCGAGATCTCACGGGTGTGTCCTTCGTCCTTTTCTCCTTTGAAACGCACATTTTTAACGGGAGGGGACCCTGGCGCGGCGTGTCGCACCGCTGCTGGCGCGGATCATCGTTTATTCGTTCCGAAAATTTGTACACGCAGAAGAGAGGAGAGGAGAGGAGAGCGCAGTTTCGCCCAGCCAGCGACTAATCGACAACTCGCGCCCCTTTCTACGTGCTGCACACGCAGCCGAGATATCTCGCAAAAGTCCCGCTGTAACGCGTTAGAGCGGAGAGGATCCTCTCCTCTCCGTGTAACGCGGTTACCCCCGGCGCTAGCGGCCGAGGATGAAGCGCAACTTGCTGATCGATCGCGATCCCCGATGAAGCAACGACGAGTAGTTGCGGACTAGCGTAATTGTAACGGCAACTTGTAACTTGTTCAACGGCGCGTCAGCGAATCGCTCAAATTTGTTATATACATGTACATTTACGATTAGTTTGACCAGTCGCGTGTGCCAGACTGCAAACTGCCTGAATACAGAAGTGAACTACGACGGCTGATGAGACAGACAGGACAGATAGACACTATCTCACGGATATTCGGACGCTCAACGCGACAGAGCCACATTGTCACATGTAAAATACCGTAAGAGGAGCTCTCACACACTCACTCTCCTACACACACACACACACACACACACACACACACACACATATAGAGGAATTACGATCTCCGGGAGAAAATGGAAGAAATCACAAACGGAGGAAACAAAGAAAGAAGTAATTAACTAACAGAGAATTGAATTAAATTTGTTAACTCAGAGAGTTGAACTTAAGGTCTATCTAAGTAATGTACGACGTAGTGATGTAAGTGCCGGTATGCGAGTCTGTTCGCGCGCCGGCTCGCGGCTGCGCGCGGATAAAGTCGCATATTCAAATAAAAAGTCCATCCAAGCAGGCGAGGAAACAAACGAGACGGGTAGCGGGAGAGGGAGGAAAGGAGGGCGTGTGCTGCGTGGAATATCGTCTCGATAGGCTTAGGTTAAAGAAAGGAAAAAGAAAGAAACGAGAGCGGGTCGTCGAGTGCGCCACCGCGGCGACACCGTTGCCGGAAAGGAAGCATCTCATTAAACGTAATTAGATAGAACGCGTATCTTAAGTATCCGTCACGTACGAGTGTGTGGCTGATACGAGTTCGCGCGGTCCTGTTCGAATCGGTCGCAGAGGGACAGAGAGAGAGAGAGAGAGAGAATGGCGGCTGACGCTTTGGACTAACGCTCTGTTTCTCCTTATCGCTCTCTCTCTCTCTCTCTCTCTCTCTCTCTCTCTCATATCTTTTCGAGTCTCTTTTTCACTCACCTCATATCGCAGCGGCATAACGACGAAAGTTGATATCCGCGGCTGGTCCAACGAAACGTGAGACTCCGCTCGGCAATGTCGCCGCGGCTCGCGTATGTGGACCACAGGACTAATGGATCCGAGGAGGGAATCTCGGGGAGATCGGGACGGCGTCTCGAGTTAGATAAGTGAAAAAGCGGCGATTGTGTCCCCGTGTAGTCGCGGGCCCGTACGAACGAGCGGCAAATCCTAACCGTGCAACTCGTGGTTGCGATCGAAACGGAAGGAGTCTTCGCGTCGACGCGCGATGTGAAGTTGCCGCGCGGTCCCGCGAGTGCATGCGCGCGCAGCTCGCTTTCTCTCTTTCTCTGTTTCTCTCCCTCGGGTCGAGCGCGCGCGAACTCAAATCGGCGAAAGTGCGTGTGTACAGGCACGCGCGATGCGATAGCGCGTTGAAGGAGAAAGAAAGGGTTTATTATGTGCACATATACGATATATAGGTGTATATCTCGTCGAAGGCAAAGAGAATCGTGACCCTTTCGGAAAGCACTGTGCATCTTCATTCCTAAATGATCGTGATTCAACGCCAACGGACACATGCCAAACCATCGTATCAATGCGCGAAGGAACGAAGAAAAGATAACGTATTATTTTTATAATTTGTCATCTTTGTATTATTGTTACGATGGTTACGTGAGAGGGGAAGAGGGTTTGTATAAAATGTAACGTTTAACTTGGTGAGACAAGAGAAGAAGAAGAAGAAGAAGCTTTGCGAACGCGAGCCTCGCGTTAACGAAGACTAACACGCGACCGGCACACACTCGCATGCATACATACATACATACACACACGTGTGTACGTATGTACACGCTTTTACACACACACACACACACACACACACATATATACAGGGAGAAAGGCACATATTTAACACACACGTAACAAGTTCGTCGAGTGAACCAGACGAGCTCTTGTAAACGCGCATATAACGTTTCTCGATCGATCGATCGACCGACTGACCCGCGATCCTATCTATCAGTAGAACATCGGATCACGTAGCACAGGAGAAGAATGACTGCATTAACGTTAAGGCGAAATTATGATAATCCACATCTGTAGGCGGCGTCGAGCCAAACCTTTACCATTTCTGCGAGGGACGTTCTCCGGACTTCGAACTTGGTATCTTCAAGACTGCCGAACACGCAGCGGTCAGGACCGGGACAGTCGCATCAATCGCGGATGCATTTTGATTGTTTTCTGACGGGAAGTTCAAGCTCGTTAGAGATTCGAAAATCCGAAATATATATATATATATATATCTCGTGGTTAGAGACTGAATTCGAAATTCTTTTTTTTAGAGATTTTTAGCGAGTCCTGATTACCTCAGGATTATATCAACTATAGTAGAATCTTGTTTTCCTCTCGGTAGGATTTTTACCTACGGCTAAGAAATTGGAACGTTGACGCACATTGTTTACGGTCTCGTCCGAGGAAGTCGATTCTCACGTTAGTCGAAAAAAAAAATATTACATATCCTTAGGATGATTTCGGGATCCTGCCGCAGTCTATCGGAAGCGCATATTGATGCGGACACGACCGGTCCTGAGTCCTGCGCGGATCTCGCGAATACGCCCTCGCTCGCGAGAGCGCTTCAAGGCGCATGGACACTTCTCCGGAGTGCGAAGCACGGGACTGTAAAGTTTTAATTAGGCTGTTAGAGAGCTAGGGCTTCGTAAAAAGATAATTCATATCATTAAGAACACGAAATAGCGATTTGAATTGAAGTCACCGCGAGAGAAAGAAACAAAGAGATGCAATCATCGTTTTTCCACTTGTCTCTCTTTCTTTCTCCCTCTCTCTCGCTCTCATTCTCTTTCGATCGCATTTTACAGGCCGCGCACACGTGTGGAACACAAGCCCACTCACATACACACACAACATCAGCATCTCCGCACACGTGTCGCGGGGCCACGTGGACATGTGTATTTAGCTCAATCTTTCAATTCTTTTGATATTTTGTAAATACAGCGGATAAATAAAAGCGATGAGCGCATTTTTCTGTAGTTAATTTTATAATTTATTTATTTACGGAGAAGCGCGGCTCGGGCGCGGGCCGGTCTCCTTTTTCTCTTCATCGTCGTCGCACGAATGAAATCGATGAAATTTAAGGATATAAGATAGGGCATACATACTACAGAGAGACACACGTTACACGTATACATACACATAGACATTACACGCACGACTGTAGATAATTTGTAACAGTTGCTATTGTCAAGTACCACGTACACGTATAAATTGACATATGCTGATATATATATCATTGCATATTATACTGATAACAATTAATAAAAGGTAATGTTGGAAATTAAATCGCCTGTATCAATTTATTTGCGTATAAGAGGTAGAAGATGTGCAACAAACATGGCGAGAGATACCGATCATTCTTCATTGATTGTGTAAGCTTCATTCGACAAATCAATAAAATTATTTTTTATTTAATAGCTCTTGACAATAATTGCACAGTATGAATTAATACTTTTATAAGAAAATATATATATTATTATAATTCATCGTTATTTAGCAGATATTGAATATTTTATGTAAAATAGTGCAAAATTTAATACACTATTTTACTTTTTATTCCGTTTCTTGCAGTTTCATTTAGAAGAGCACATTCCCCGTTATTCTGTGATAATAATGTATTGCCTGTGATGATAACAATTAACCGCAACCACCTTTTCCACAGCAGCTACGTTTTGGAGGACGATATCCGCGAGTATGATCGCCCATTAGAGGATTATAATCTGCAAATGAAGCATGTTTGAATGTTGTGTCATTTCGATTTGTCTCAGCAATGTGCGAGGAACTTGTGATATAAATCTCACCTGATTTAGATGGCTTTGAACTTGAGCTTGTACTAGGCGCGCTATTGTCTGATGCATTACCTAGCCTTTTGCCTACTTCTTTACTCTCCAATAATTTTAAGACTTTTTGCCTTTTCTTCTCCTTTTCCTGGGCAAGAAATAAACTTGTCAAATATATCATATCAAAATATCTTCTACTGTATTGATTAATGTATTATAATAAAATCATGAGATACCTCTTCTTCCTTAAGCTTTGCTGTAACACAATGTTGATTGTAGGTCTCTTGCAATTTCTGTCGTGCTAACTCTACATTAGCTGATACTTGTGGCATTTGATCCGTTTCTAAGTATACAATTGATACATAACAAATTACGTTATATTCATTTCACAGATTATTTGCTTCTATTAAAAGAATTAATAGGAAAATATAGACTCACTTTTGCAATGTGCTGCATCATTCTGTTTATTCTTTATCAATTTCCAATTTTCATACTTTTCTTGAATATGTGGAAACATGTAATAAGTAATAGCTAAAACTCCTACTATATACCATCCTACAGAAGCTATTTGAGACCAAACTGAAATATCAAAAACATTTCAATTTCTTCATAACCATGATGAACGACAAAATATATGTTGATATTTCATACATATAGTATATATATAAATATATATATATAAATATATATAAATATAATGAAGTATGTATAACATATATATGTATGTTTAGTAATACATTCGCAAATATATGTTTAAAATCCCTACATATTACTTGCTAACATACTTTGTTTAATACCACAAGTAAGGATAATTTGGGCTTTAGTGCAGAAACTTATTAAAGCCTCCCTCTCATCAGGGACTTAAAATAATAATAAAATTGATTGCTATGGGATGGACATGAAGAAATAATATATAATGCGAAGTGGAGAGAGGAACAAGATTTATTATGTATACAACATAATAATACATACTTATTTGAAAGTAGCTCGGACTGTGAACGTGCTCCATGTTCGTTTAGTTGAGATTAATATGTTGAGGTTATTATACGTAAATTTTAAACGCACGAACAATTGACCATACGTCAATATACATTTGCATTGAATAAAATTTGCAAAAGCATTAACCAAATCTGCACGTCACAACTTGTTGATTATCATTACGGTTCTACCTTAAACAATGGTAACATTGAAATGCACTCTGGTGCTCAAGAAATGATTCAAGAGAGAGACAGAGAGAGAGAGAGACAAATGAGGGATACCTATCTCTCTTACTTTCACAGGTACAGTCCGATGAAGAAATTTATTTCTAAGCTAATTCTGGCGGGAGCTCTCTGCCGCTTGATTATTTTATAAGCCCATAAAACTAGGCAAAATTTAAACCAAGCGTTTTTTATAAGCTTAGAATTGCATTCAATAATGCTTATCGAGGCAAGGAAAGTGACATCTCGCCTGAATTTTTCCGAACACAGGAAGTGTTAAGAAAAAATTAAAATGTAGAAATGTAGAAGTCACGTTTAGTGCGAATTAATATAGCTCCGAAACATTTTGTCATTATTGAATGTTATTCATTCTAACGTTTCTGTAGTTTCAAATGACAAAACTCAATGACTTGTACGATCTTTTATTTGGAGTATTTACAACGTTCTCGCCTTCTAACAATGTTAACTATACAATTCAGTATCCGTATTTATCGTTGAGACTTGTTCTTCCGTCGCCAGTCTGGTCTTGCGGTGGCAGCCACGTAGAATATTCATCCGAGTGAACATCTTGATCATAATGCTTCTTCATAACTTTGGACTTTTCTGATTTTTTACCCTTTTGCTGTACATTTCCAATATTTGATTTGTCCCTTCCTTTATCTTGACTCGAAATGATATTTGAAACACTCATCGATTTAACATTGGTTCCTGTGCTTTCTTGCGATTTCATTTCATCTTTAGATGATATAGATTTTCTGCATTTCGACTCATCCGCGCTGTATGTTTCTTCAATAAGTCGGACCTTCCTTCGGTTCTCAATCTCTTCTTTTACATTATCTTCTTCTTCCTCTTCTTCCTCCTCCTCTTCTTCCTCGTTATCTACATTTAATGCTGATACTGTTGTATCAGAATTGTTTTTGTTCTGGAAAATTATGTTACATTTTTTAAATATATAAACGAGAAATACTTCTCACATAACAAGTAAATAAGAGATCAAGATAAGATAAAAGATGATAAGTAAACACTTACATTCGTTTCGAAAATTTTCCGCCTTTTTTCGAGTTGGGAATTTTTCTTCATGGAAAATTTTGATCTCTGATAAGTTTGGTGTTTTTCATCTTCTATCGGTACTTGGCTAACAAGAGGTGGCAGATTGGCCGGCTTTGCAAGGTTTATCAATTTAATCAGCTGCATCTCTTCTTTACGTAAATTTTGCAATTCCACTTTCATCTTTGTTATGTCACTTTTGCTCAAAGTAGACGAATTTAAACTAGACATAAACGCGTCTAATGAATCCTCATTTGATTCCTTTTCTTTAATACTGCTCTGCTGTGTCTCCTTCAGGCGATTGGTTAAATGCGAAATCTTACTCAGAATCTCATTATGTTTTTCAGTCTAAAATAATAGAAAAGAATATTCTTTACTGAAAACTCATGTGTATATATATAAATGTGTATATAATATCTTATAAAAATATATAATAGAAAATATATACAATTTTTTATTACCAATGTATTATATGTCTCGACTTTTTCTTCAAGTTTCCCAGCTTGTTTCATTCGTTGTTCACGTTTCCTTTCTACTGTTCCCGTTCTATCCAAAAAGTTATCTTCGTCTGAGTCGTAATAATCTTCTTCCTCCCAATTTCTAGTTTTTCTTTTTCGACTCTCTGCAAATGTAATCGATATTTTATTAATAACTAAAATTGTAAAAACCTTATATAAATAAATCTTCATAACTATCTATATTTCATCAATTAATTATAAATGAGATCAAATTTCTTAAAATTTTGATAAGCAATAGCTAGATCACACTAGAAGATGTAAAATTATAGTTATAATCACAGTAAAATATATTACCATGATTAGCTTGTCTCAATAATCCGTGCCTGTCCAAAATTCTGCAAGCTTCTAAAGCACATTGGACAACAGCTTCTTTTTTCTTTCCTTTAACAAGAGCTTCCGCTTTGATGGAACGGCCACCAAAACATTCTTTGGGTAAACTAAAATGTTTTAAAATTTTTATATGTACAATATATATAATACATATAAAAATAGTAAACCAAAACTGAATATATTCAAATAATCAAAATTCAAAAAATTGTCTTAAACAAAAATACTTACTCTACCCAGCATAGAAACTGCCCTATTCTTTTTTCTTCAACTTGATATTGCAGATCATATCCCTCTCTCTCAAACCAACCTCTTAACGTTTTCTTAGGATCATCTAAATACAGTTCTTCTTCTGTCATAGTAGCATAAGGATTCTCTGTAAGATCTGTTTCTTCATCTGCATCTTCTCCCATTCCCCAATCAATACCATCGCTTTCTTCTGCTTCTCTGGACTTTTTGGCTTCTTCCTCCTCCTGTAGTCTAGCTTCTAATTCCTGTAACTCTCGTATTTTTTCCAGTCGTTTTTCCTGTATGTGAAAAACAATATTCTTACAAATTTAATTCCTTTAATAAGAACATAATAACTTCAAAAGAAAGTCAATTATAGAAAATTATGAATGCAATTGTTGAATTAATTATATACAAACATAAATACTATTAAAACAAACCTTCAATTCAGTAACTGTTAGTTCAGATTCCTCTTCCTGTTCATCTAATGGTGCTTGTAAAATATATTTTCTTTGACTACACCCAAATTTAATCATGTGACCTCTATATAATCGAACATAAGTCCTAGGTTTTATACGATGACCATTCAAAAAGGTACTATGTGTGCTTTCTAAATCATATAAATAAAAACCTTTAGAACTCTTAGGTTCTCTTGGATCTTGGTCTGAACTTAATTCTTTTGAATGTTTATCAGAGGTATATTTTTCATCTTCTACTGTTCTATATTGAATAATCGCATGATGCCTTGAGATAGTTGGATGAGCAAGAGACAGATGGCAAGAAGGTAACCTTCCTACTACATGATAACTCTCAGTTAAATTAATTGTCTCCAGGATGACTCCGGATTTAAGAACCTCTAACTTATATTCTCTTGTTGGTTTTCCACCCCATGATGGTTCCTTATAGGGAACACATAATGATTCCATGCATCGAACAGGGATACTTTTTTCATCTGATGTAACATTTTCTTCTGTGATATTTTCAGAGATCGATTTGTCAATTCTGAGTGTAGTATCATCTTTCTGTTGAGTAGTTTTAGTCATTTCCTTTGTCGCAGGTAATGATTCAATTGATGGTACAACAAATGATGAAGACACATCATTTGTTATTACTCGACGAATCTTGCCAATTTTCCCACGCTTTGGGCCAATAATAAGTGAAAATGGTTTCTTAAAACCTGTAGCTGGCTTTTCACATTTGTCATTGGATTCATTTTTCGAATCACTTGTCGTGTCTTTCTCCTCTGATTCTTCAATGATTTGTTTGTCACATTGTTTGGTGATCACTTCGTTGCTACTTGTATCAAGTTTGTCATCCATCACAATATCATCCTTGGGAGAGACAATAACAGATTCGTTTCTTTGTTTATTCATTTCCATCGTAGCAATCTTAATAATCTCGAATTTTACGTTAAAAATAATTTAAAAATATCAAAACTTCTATCTTTAGAACAATATTACACGATACTGTTGACTAGAAACTGTGTAATACGTTTAATATTTATATTTTGTTTCGTTTTGATATGTATATACCCAACTTTTTTAATTCTATTTTTGCCTCTTTAGTTGCACTGCAGCATAGTATGCTCTTGTGTATATAATCGACAACAACACAGTTTTATATCCTTTTTTTCCACATAGATTCACGACTCGTGATCTAGAAACAATGGCTACATTCAGCACAAACAGAGAGGAACCTGAGAGCGGTCAATACGGCGTTTTCGGCGACGCTGACTTTCCGCACTGGGAAAGGGCGCCATCCGCATCCGTTTTGGGAACGGGAACTACGATGTTACATTCTCTTTCAGGTCTCGGCGGGAAAACCTGCATTTGGTGGAAGTCCGTGTTACATCCACTTTCAGGCGGTTTATGTCCATGCTGCAATCAAAGTTGCCATTTCTATGCCAGATTATGCCCGGAGGTCTAAAAAGAACGGCGGGGCGGGAGGGAGGGGAGGAGGAGCAAGAAAAATAAAAGTACATATTAAATATTTATATTATTATATTAAATCTTCGAATACACGTTGCCGCATCCAAGTCTCCTGTATAATAAACGATTTGACACATCTGGAGACGCATGATGTATCGTTGCCCGCGTCCCGTTCCCTTCGTCCTGCTTCTCAATTCAGCATTCCGTCCGCTCCGGACATTCGCTCGTGGCACTGACAGTGGCCGTCAATGAGCATTCGATTCGTTCGGAGGAGCACGTGTTAATTAACGCGACGAGACTCCGATCATAAATATCCCGCGAGTCGACGAAATATCTGAACTTTTAAAAAAAGCATCAAAGAAAATCACGTTGATGTTGTCATGGGTGAAATCTCACCCTGATATATATTTTCTTATTTTCAAAATAAAAAAGGCCAAACGAATGCAATTAAATGTTATTTATCATCATTGAATATTAGATGAAAAGTAGGAGAGTTATTGTCCGGAGCGGATAATCTAACATTTAATAAGAACGAGACAAAATTCGCGTGAGATCAAATTCCACTCTTTAACGCTACCATGACCTTTAATTATTCTCTGAAAACGGCGTCACAACAACTTTGACACTCTGTACAATTAGTTGCTAACACATTTTCTAATCGTACACATTCCTCTTTAATTAACATAAAGCTAACAAATATCCGATGCTTCGACAGAGTAATTTTCTTTATTTTCACTAATCAATAAATAGAATAAATCAATGTCGCGTACAGTTGAAAGGCCTCCTCGCATTCCCCTCGTCGTTCCGGAACCTTCGAGAAAAGAAGAGACGCCCAAGGGCAAGTCTCTCTTGCTTCAACCGTACCGCCGAGGCCCGCAATGTTTACATCGCGCCGATTGTGTTGATCGGCTCGCGCGAGCGACGACACTTTTTGCCCTTCGTATTAATACTCGCGCGCCTCGCGTACTCGATTTCATTCCATCAGCAACAGCCGTGCGCGACGCGCTCGTCACTTTCGTCTCGTGTAATTGAAAGAAATGTATCTCGTCGGTCCTCGAGATACTCAATCGGCATCGCGTTGGCATCGCGTTGATTAACCGCACGGTCGAATCGCGAGTATCGGCATTAGAAGCATGAGCGAGTGAAATCCGAAGGACTCCAGTAGCCGAGAAGCAGGACGCGACAGCGATACGTCACGTTTCCAGGTATGTGGAATCATTTATTATGCGGGAGGTCTCCGATAACGAGAGTGGACGTTTGACGAATTTTCCGGGAATAAGAAGTCGGAATTTCGCACTCGCCATTTACGATCCGTCATCATCCGACTAGTAATCATGACATTATAAATCTGCAATTACTCTCGTCAATCTCTGTCTGTCTATCTATTTATTGCGTTGTTGTATACAAGAGATATTGATCCAGAGACAGAGACGGATAACGGTCCATGAACGCGGATCTCTAATGCATGTTCTCAATCAAACATTCTGAATAATTTCCAATTGTGTGAGTATACCGGTCTTGTGTAGAATATTCAACGTCATACCGCTTCTTAAGCTACGACTTTTTTGTTTTCGGTCAGCACTTCTTTCAAGTCTGTTTACTGTCGTTACGAGATCTAAATTTAAACGTCCATTCGTAAAAGAGTATTTTCGAGAGCACACAACTGTTGTCTCCGCTTCTTGTTGTCATTTTTCTCATCATTTTTCAGCTCATTCAAGAGCTCCAAGTCCTATCTAGACTTTCAATGTCAATGAAGAAAAAAAAACCGTAGCGAATATTCTTCACTCATATCGACCGAACATTTTTTCTCTACCGCAGCTTACCAATCAACTAAATTTTTGTTCCAGACGTTGCGGAAAGCAAGTCCGGCGGACGCGGATGCCGCACCGGAGGATTCGGTTCGGGCAGAGCAGGGTCGGCCGGAAGGTAAAGTTTACAAGTTTCCTACATATCTGTGTTCAACTCTTTACAATCTTTGCCTTTGCAATTTGTTCCTCATCAGCTATCTTGAAAGCTTCATGTCTCATATAAATTTTCAATGTTGGAACAAAAATATAAAGATAAAAATCCCATATAAAAATATTTCCGTATTTTCAATTCGTTTCGATCAAAGATGTTCTCTCTCTACCGCAGATTATCAACTGGGAAACTATTTTTCTGTTTTAGTTATTGCGGAAAGCAACAACAATCCGGCAGATGCGGATGCCGTACCGGAGGATCCGGTTCGGGCCAAGCAGAGTCGGTCGGAAGGTAAAGTTCATAAGTTTCCTACACATCTGCGTTCAACCCTTAACGATCTTTGCCTTTGCAACTTGTTTCTCATCAGCTCTCTTGAAAGCTTCAAGTCTTATTTAAATTTTCAATATTGGAACAAAAATATAAAAATAAAAATTCTTTATCAAAATATTTCCGTACTTTCGATTCGTCCCGATCAAAGATACTCTCTTTCTCTCTCTCTCTCTCTCTCTCTCTTTCTTTTTCTCTACTACAAGTTATCAACCGGGAAAATTATTTTTCTGTTTCAGTTGTTGCGGAAGCAATAACAATCCGGCGGACGCGGATGCCGCACCGGAGGAACCGATTCGGGCCAAGCAGAGTCGGCTTGAAGGTAAGTTTACAAGTTTACTATAGTCCTCTGTTTGACCCTTGGCGACCTAGAGCTGGGATATAATTTCCGAATCGATTTGAATTACGATCGCAGAGGGTAAACTACTCTTTTACTCGCCCGCAATAGTTGGTCTGATCTGATGAGCGAATGTGAATTTTTTGTTACAGAGTTGAAGCGGAACGTGGCCGGCTCTGACTGCAAGTCGTTTCGGTGAGTCAAAATGAAAAGAGAAACAAAATTCTGCATGACGGATGTGGGATTAAAAAATATCGTTCGAGTCAATGCGAATTGCAAATAGATTCTTGCATGTGTGTGTTTGTGACGTTGATAAAATACATTGCTCGAAACAATCAGGGGATTACTTGATCGATAGCCTGCATTACATACGAGATTTAAAATACCGAATGATTCTCTTTTGATGTTCAGTCATCTGAATAAGAGATATTCATATCTACAAACGCGATACGGTCATCAGCTGTTTTATTTTCATTTTTCAAGCGGGCCGTAAAATTATTTAATGACAATTATTTGACAATATTCAATTGTCCGTGTAAAATATATTCATACGCATAAATGCCGATACCGTTGGCACTTTTCTTTTATTCCCGAAACAAGCTGTAGAATTATTTGGCGATATTGTCCGTCATTGTTCATCCGATATTGTTCATCACGATCCCTATTGTCTCGAGTAGCGTATAATGCGCGCAGAAATTACGCCAGCGTACGCCGAGCTTGAGGTATTCTCGCTCGCATGCCTTTGAATATCGCGACCGCGGTTATCAATATACTTTTTACCCGCGCTGCTAACAAAGAAAGCTTAAATTCTCATTTCGCCAAAGTGTCGCGAACGGAAGCTTCGTCGTGACGGAACTGTCATGCGTGAAAACTTTGCCCCGCTCTTTCTCTCTTTGCGTTCCCTCGGAATGACCGGTTTCTGATTGTCTAATCTTTCCTCGCATGCATTCGCGAATGTTCTCGTAGATATCAATATTCCCGCATTTTCGCGACTTTTCAGACGCGATCGCGAAAAGCGCCGTAAAAATCCGTTGGACGAGTCGATAAATTTTCACACAGTTCTTGCTCCTCGCCGATCGAGTTTATAGAGTCTGCTTCGCAGCGCGTAAAATGTTTCCACCGATGTCGACGTAAAACGTTCCTTAATTGACGCAAATATCGCCGCTCTAATACAAAAGTATCGACCGCGTCGCGGAAATGTGGTGAAAGTGTAGCAATCAACGTGGGACGCGCTGCAAGATGGATGCTGTGCGACATGGAGAACGGCAGCGGACATGGACGGACATTGGTGGATCTAGTTGGATGCAACGGGACATCATCAATATCGTCATCGGTGAGCGTTTGACTCGATGCTCGCAGAGAGCTCTTTTATTATTACATTGTGCATGCCGCAAATTTGCATTGACTTTTGTAACGAAAAATATATTCCATGAATTATTGCCATATATTATGGCCATATATTATTGCCATATATTGTTGCCATATATTGTTGCCATATATTATTGCCATATGTTATTGCCACATATTATCGCCATATATTATGGCCACTTGAAATCGCGCGGACAATCGAAAAAATTGAATTTGCCGATAATCGCAAAGGCGCGCGGCAGACGTCACGGACGGATGATAGCAGCCCATTTCAGAGCTGCCCGATAACAATGCTCTTGCTGCAATTTAACTTTAAACCACAACGGCCTCCGGTCGTAGGAAACTTTCTATCGCGGACTAACCCCTCGAGTGGAATATTCCTGAGAAGCGCTCTTGACATAAACGCTAGTTATAAGCGAACTTGCCTTGTTAGGGCCTCGTCGCCGTATCGTTGTCGCGCAAAATAAGGGAGAAAGGAGTTAAACATCCGCACCGTTGTGAAAAGAAGGGCGATTGCGTCCCTTCGCGAGTAGAATGTTAGGCCCTTGCGAACGCGAGCGTTAAATTCCACCGCGGCCGCGAACGTCCCCCGACTAGTTTCTTCGCGGAAACTGAATCTTCATAACTCGCGCTTGATCGTGCGTTGAGACTCTATCGAGGGTGGGAGATTGAAGTGGGAGTTGATAATATAAGCGTGACAAAGTAGTCGCACATTTTATGATCGCTCATTAAAATGGACGCTTCTTTCGTCGGTGATAAAGACGAGAAGAAATCAGAGCCTGCTGCCTGTGAGATCGTAAAAACCGCATGGATTTTCCTTCCGTAGTTGTTCTCCCGGCTGTTTAATCCGCATTAAGACAGACTTAAAAGTCCCATACCGTTTTGCGAGATTCGTAATAATTATCGATTACAGAAATCTGACAAATGAGCGCGCACTCAGACGAATGATTGTAGAAGCGTCGTAGTAGAGAGAAGAACATCATTAACATGCGAAAAACGAAGAAAAGGGCACAAAAATGCGGAAAAAAAGGAAGAAAGTGCAGTAAAACGCAAAAAAACGTTTTTCAGCATTTTTTGCAATTTTCTGTATTTTCCAGCGTTTTAAGCGTTTTTAGCATTTTTTTGCGTTTTCCTGCGTTTTGTTGCATTCTTCAGCGTTTTTCTGCGACATCCACATCTATAAGGTCATTCTACAATACGTGTCGTAAGTTGTAAAGCCCTAAGAATTGGCGAATCACAGTTGATTATTACAAAAATAATCGGCTATAATTAGTCAGTTTTTGCGGTTTATAACTTACGACACGTATTGTAGAATGACCTATACCCTCATCCACATCCGCATCCACATCCACATCACCCATATCCATGTCAATAATGTCCTTCTCTCTACTACGACGCTTCTCCAATCATTCGTCAAAGTGCGCGCTCATTTGTTAGATTTCTGTAATAACTCGATAATTATTACGAATCTCGTAAAACAGTATGGGACTTTTATGTTTTGTCTTAATCTACCTTCCACTCCAATCTACCTTCACATTTTGGTTTGGCAGCTAATTACCAGACATCTTGTATTTACATATCATCCTGTATATACAATACAATAATCGTATCTTCATGATTCATTAATCTTACACAATCTTAATTCTTATTTCTTTTGCGCATGTTAACATGTTAATTCATGTTACAAACGCATAACAATATGCGAGATCGTGCTTATCAAGTACGCTATTATGGTTGTAGCACGGACATAAACCGCCTGAAAGTGAATGTAGCACGGATTCCCACCACATGCAGAGTTTTAACCCCTGAGATCTGAAAGTGGATGTAGCATCGTAATTCCCGTCTCAAAATGGATGCAGATGGCATCCTTTCCCAGTGAGGAATGTCGGTATCGCCGAAAACGGCGTGTTGGCTGCTTTCAGGTTTCTCTCTGAATGTAATTTACGTCTCAGCTAAAATCAGATTTTTAGTTTTGAGCTTTGTGGAAAAAATTAGTAAGCCTTAAATAAGTTTAACAAAAAAATTAAACCAAAATATTTTTATGAACTTTTAGAGTTCCATTTAACAGTATTTGTCGAATTATAACGAATTGGCGCTATTCTCGAATTTATCTATACCGGAAGCATTTAAAAATGTATATCGTCTCTCTTTCTCTCTTATAAAACATATAAAATAGTTATTTTGCGGCACTGAAGGAAAACGCCGGCTTCAGTCTTGACTAAATTTTACGAAGGCTGGTAAATTGTGGTTTGAGTCTAACCTACTGGTTTGACTTAAAATCTGCGTATCTTTAATAAAATTTCAAAAACATTATATATATATATATATATACACACAGTATACAATACTTATAATATTAATAGGAGACATACATATATACATACCTGTATATATGTATATCACAATTTATTTCAGTTTATTTCATTAAAATATACAGATATAAACGTGATCACACTTTTGTTCGAGTTCCTCAACGAATTTACATCATGATTTTCTTAACCTGAGATGAATCGCAATAATATTTCTCACGCTAACACTTCATTTCTCCTCTCTCCTTGTTCACTCGCGCTATAAATTTCTCAACGCTTCCCTTAAAAAATACTTGGTTTCATCATCTTTCTACGCTGTAACAAATAATAAATCTACGGGCGCACAAAGTAGAGTTCGAGCTTTGCGTCTGTCGCAACTTGTAATAATTGTAATATTTACGTTCAACGCTATATAACGAGGCTGCGCCTCATTTTTCTTTTTCTCCCTCCTCCTTCCAGCCCCGGCGGAATCACCATTTGATGCATTTAATGCGCTTATCGGCACTATATTTACATACAATACGAAACTTACGAACGCATGCACCAATAAAAAATATTCTTAAAATAGTAATTCTTTGAATAACGCTTGGCTAACTCACATGTATCTGCCTACTGGATAATTCGGTTTTACCTCGCACATCTTGCCCGTGTCATAAAACAGAATTGTCGCACACAAGCCAGATAAATCGAGAGACACTTTGCGCATTTTCGGTGCATGGTTACACGAGTACAATTTCTTTTTTATTATGTTATACATGCTGCGTGGTAACTATATTGTAGGCACGTGTCTTTCTCGTTTCCCTCTCTATTTATCTCTACTTAGATATATGTATATATATATATATATATATATATATATATTCGCATATATATATATATGCAATATATGTATATATATGTAATGTATGTATCCACGTATCCTCAACGTAGACCAAAGTTACTTTATAGTGTCACTCTCAAATGTCACTTGATACTCTCAAATAGCACAAGACATCGCAGAGCATCAATCTGGATGCATCTGAATGCAGTGTCACCGGACGCCTCGAACGCATCCAAAGTGACCTCAGGGGACGTCTTATACTAGGTGGATTTTTGTTCTGCAATATTTGTCTAAATATCTCGAAATAGTATTTCTCAAGCATACGCATTACCTGCGCGAATTTATCTACCGTATCGTTAATAGCGTTAAACGCAGTTAATAAATAGCCGACGCGACATCGATAAATATTACGGGTAACATTCCTCTCTCTCTCGTCAACAAATTTAGCCTTCTCGTATGCTCCATTTTCATCCCCTTTCTGGTAAAAATGTACAAAAACGCACGCGGTTCTTATATTCAAAAGATACATGCGCTTTCTCTCGTCCGCCGGAGTCCCGATAAATTCCGTTCGTTAAATCACACCGAAATGTATTCTTCGAATCGTCGCAAGCGCAACTCAGACAAGACAGGAAACAATATACATTCTCATAAACAAACATCGGATAAAGTTACAGCACAACTCCAGCTCATTTGTCGACGGAGTATAAACCAAACTTGTGAAGTGCAATGTCGAAACGACACGTTGTGCGTCCGTAATTCTCACGGCAGATAATGAAACCAAATGGATATTTATCCTGAATTGTCCTTGTATCTTCTCTTCTTCTTCCTTTTTTTTTAATTCTTTCCTGTTTCTTTCTCGCTCTTGCACGATATTCTACGCGACATGAAACGACAACTCTACAACGAAACAGAAGCTGATGGCATAAAAGATGCGTAAAGTGAGGCCTAAAATATTCGCATTGATCTGACTTCATGCGGGAGCCCGATTATTCGAATAGCGAATAAACATGAGGTTTCAAAAGTTCAAGTTATCCGGGAATTCGGGCTTCCCAGGATATACCTGAGTAGTTGAAACATTGAATTCAAATCCAAGTTCGCAGCTGAATCGATCGTGGCAATCTAGATTCCCCTTGGAAGCTTGCCAATCAGTATTTTTTAACAATTTTATATTTACTTATGCCTTCAAATAATTTCGAATCATTGTGTTATTAAATTGATTCATTTCATTTTTTTTCCCTCTTGTATTTAATCCGAATTCAAATTCAGAGGTCGGTTGTGTGTGTGTGTGTGTGTGTGTGTGTGAATCCGAATTTATATTCTAGATCCGGATCTCTTCTTATGGCTTGAACTTGGATTCGAGTGATCCGGGTTATCCGGACTATCCGAATATAATGCGGTCTTGAGTTTGCGGATTGTACTGATTCTAAACATCAGATATCCGAATATTTGGGAGCCCTAGTGTATAGTACACGCTGTGTTATCTCCGAAATTCTGATATATTAATATATCTATATAGAGATATCTGGTATACTATATATATATATATATATATATATATATATATATATATATATATATATATGTATAAATCTCTTGCCGGTGAGACTGAACAGTTCGTTACATCACTAGTACGGTATGGTGCTCGTTTTGCGTCTTGGAACACAATTGTTGTACGTTCAATATCGCGAGAAACCGCATCTCGACCCGCATGAACCGTAGCGCAAACTTATGTCTTCCCGTCTAATTGTAAGTTATAATTATAATCTAGACTTCTCTATCGTACAGTCATTTAAACGCTTTGTACCGAGTGATCGCTATTATCAATGATTACACGCCTCCGAGAATCTCTCGGGGAAAAAGTGTCGCTTGGTCTAAAGTGAAATATTTCATCGTTTGTGTATCACTTCACCCAGTCGCCCAGGCTACTTTGTATATCTCGTATATCCGTACTGTAACAATGCACTCGCACGGACAGTCGAAGACGATCCGCCGCGATAACTTCCTCAACAGCCACTCCGTACGCAGCCAAGGCAGATCAGTGATTACGTACCTATCTACTTACTAAGAAATAGTTAAACGCTCGAACTTACTCTAAACGCAGTGCTACTTTGACTCGAACGTCTGCGTGCGTGTATGCTTCCCGAGCCGACAAAGAAGACCGTGATCATGATGAGAAATCAAGATTTCTTTTTCTTCTAATCTACTAGTCTATAAAAACATGAAGAGTCGCGGTTTTCTCCGACGAATCTCCGACCCTCGCTCAATGAAGCAAGGCGGCAACTCGAAAAGCACACATCCCAGCATTTTGTGTAAAAATAATAATAAAACCAATGTAGCAACTGCTTGACGTGACACGCTTCAAAATGGTGGATACAGTGAAAATGATGGAAAAACCTTCGCTTGAACATTTATGTAGAAGAGTCCGGCGATAGACTAACGCGTGCTGCAAAGGTCTTGGAACAACTAACTGGTCAGCAGCCAGTATTTTCTAAAGCTAGATATGCTGTACGTTCCTTTGGCATCCGTCGGAATGAGAAGATGGTTATGCACTGGCACTGTACATGATGTAAAAGCTGAAGAAATTCTCGAGCGCAGCCTGAAGGTACGTGAATATGACTTGAAGAAAGAAAACTTCTCGTGCACTGGGAACTTTGGTTTTAATATAGAAGGACACATCGATCTGGGGTTTAAATATGATCTCAGCATTGATATTTATGGGCTGGATTTCTATGTTGTATTTGGACGACCAGGATTCAACGTAGCACACAGAAGAAGAAAAACTGGTAAAATCGGCTTCCAACATAGACTGACAAGAGAAGATGCCATGAAATGATTCTAGCAAAAATATGATGGTATAATTATAGCTGGGAGAAAATAATATGTGTACCAATAAAACCAAAAATGTATAACAGAATCTATCCTAAATTTCGAGGATAGAGGAATTTCAGCGACACGATTTCTCCAAAATCGTCAGACAGAAAGGCGGGGGGGGGATTCGTCGGAGAAAACTACGGAGATACAATTTCCTTACAGTCTCACATTCGCTGCCAAAACGCGGCCGTTTGATCGCGAGTTTCGTTCGCCTAGAGCGCGAAGATCCCGAGGGATTGTTCTTATGAGCTGAAAAGACGCATCAATATGAGATACATATGCGCATAGATACGTGTCTCTGTTTCCGCTTGCCTACTTTCTTATTGTCCGGCTATTTTCTGTGTACACGCATTTTTACTTTCATATCACGTTTTATATAATATTTAGCATATAAATTCGAATATCGGAAAACGTAAGAAAAAACGAGGGAACTTCTCGCCCTTTCCTCATTCTCTTTCTCTCTCGTCTATATGCGCGCAACAATAACTTCTTGTAAATCTCGTTGAACAAAGTATAGCGAGCAAAGGTACAATAATGAAATGGCAATAACTTGCAATATCGTATCGTGCTTTCTATGTGTTTAAATTGAGCGACCTAGAAAACTTATGCTCTGGAAAGGATCAGAAGAACGAATAACGCTCCTTTGGGAGGTGCAGAATTGTCGAAGAGCTGCGAATACAATGATATCGTGATGCCACAGTCCAATTCTTTAAGCCATTCTAGACAATGTTGCGGTATTTTTCGCAAAGAAGTCAATAATCATGTTTAATGACGAGAATGGCAGAGCGTATGTGTGTGTGTAACAATTTATTTTACACGAAAGAATATTTTATAAAACAAAATGGGGAATACGCGTGCCCTTATACGAATACAATAGTATGATATAATTAATTTCGATAATGAAATTAAGCAAATACGCATGCAACATATCCCGTAAGAAATAATTGCAACATTAAAAATCTATAAGAAATCGCGCAAGAAAAGCACAAATGCTAATTTCCGATGTATACATAGGATAATCGTACACTTGCTTGCTTTTACACTCCATATTTAATTTAATTCTACATCTACAAAAAGGAAACATAAAAATCTAATAATTTACTATACTCAAACCCAGTTCTAAAAACTACACTCAATGAAAGAAAATATAGAGTCTCAACGATGAAAGTGACAAAGTTTCAAAGCATGTATTAAATGTGTGTGTATTGTTGTGTGCTATATGTAACAATTGGTTTATATCACTGTAAGATAATACGTAGATGCTTAAAAAACTAATAATATTAAGGGTAAGAGTGTGTCATACCCTAAGAATCTTCGAGCTAATTGCAAATATAGGGCCGCTAACTACGTATCCTTACTTTCCGAGACGCTTGATACGAGACCGCGTGTTCAAGGATCGAGCACTGGGATTGTAAGGCGACTTGACTCTCTTAGCTATACCAGAGGTGGAACTACAACCTGTGGTCGCGTTATTAATGGCCGCGCAAGTACTCACGCTTCCACCGTTACTATTCGCTTGTTTAAGTTTATTGGACGACAACGAGGAAGACCTGACTCTACTCGATTGCAACGAACCACTGTTCGTAGATTGCTTCAGCTTATTCGGCATGGGCAATCGGTTCTGCTTCACCACGCCGTACTGATGGACCATCTGCGCGGATATGGTATGCCCGGCGATGTCTACGTTACGTGAACGTAATGTCTTCACAGGTGTCGCCGCCATTGTGTCTGATCTAAATCAAAAGAATAAAATAAAGTTCTTTTTACGACTTGAAGGTCGTATCAGATTGAGGATGTAAACCACTAGACACTTTATAGACTACATTTGTACAAACAGCATGAAACCGATCTGATAATTCGTGTTTTAATAACAAAAACTGATAAAGATCACTGATACATATATTGACATATTCTACAAACAATTGTTACTGGCATGACTGGCAGCACTAGTAAAGATCAATTTTCTGAAAATCACTAATGTGAAACCCACAATTCTCAATTCCCATCATCTGGATAATCTTTAGTTGCAATCTGATATGGATTTAACGGACTCGCTGAGTTACCAACCTTAGCCATCGTTGTGGCATCGTCGTATCTGTAGGGCTCATCAGCGCTACTGTCCTGTTCAATCTTCTATCATTACAATTGTTCGTTCGGTTGCTTCTTCCTTGGTCCCAATCCCTTAGGCCGAAACTACCTCTCAGCTGTTGCAGTCGATTCGAACCGCTCATAGACGGCCTCCTGATGGTTTTCACGAGCGTAGCCTTCTTCCCTAAGCTCCTCCGTTGGAACGTGTTGGACGACGAGAGCCTGTCTTGGCCGGACAACGTCGCGGCGGTCCCATTATTCTTCGACAACGCAGAGTCCGACGTAGGCCAACTCAACCGGCTGCTGGCGTCCTCAGTCACTTTGTTAGCCGGATCGTTCTCGTCCGTCAGACTCGGCCGGTCCTCCGAGCGCGTCCTCCTCTTGGCACACGGCTCCTGCTGCTGTTGCTGAATACCGCAGCCGCCGTCGACTGCCTGCGCGATCGCACTGTGCCTGCGTTTGTTACCCACCACAGCAGCAGCATTGCCGCCGCTCGTTTGCCGGCTTGGCGCGCTCTTCTTCAACGCGTTCTCCTCGTTCGTCACGTTCCCGGAGGATTTCGTTATCGGCACCTTGTATCGTGACTTGATACTCACATAACTCTTAGGGTCCGTGGGTGCGACGTCCGCGTAAGCATTGCGGCTTTGCGAGTTCAAGCTGTGTCGTCGCTTGATGCTTCGAACATCAGGCGTAGCAGCCGGGAACAGTGGATGCTGTTGCGGTTGTTTGTGCCTTTGTCTGCTCAAAACATCATTTCTCGCTTCATCATCGTTGCAACTGTTGTTCTCAGCGAGAATACCGCCGCTTCGACGCAGCTTGCTGCCGATGAGCGTGCCGTCGGGTTGGACGTCCTCGTTCGCGCTGGAAAGTTCAGTCTGTGGCGTCGCATTGGGTACTCCCGTCTCCGACAGAAATTCTTTGTCCAACTGCTTTATCTGACTCGTGATCAGCGTGTTATCGTGCTTTTCTTCGGTTCCATCCCGTTCGCTTGTTGCTTGCTTCTCATCTTTGAGGTTGGTCAACTTGGCAACAACGGCTTCATCCGTTCCCTTTTTTTCCATTTCTGCGCCTTCTTCTAGTATTTCACTAGAGGAGACCTCGTCGACTTGAATACTTTCAACGACGTCTGCAACCTCCGCCGTGTTGTTCTTGTCCGCTGCTCTTGTCTCTTGCAATTTCGTGGAATTATCGATATAAAAACTAGTTGATTTTTCAACTGATTTTTCAGGAGATGGGATTGTCTCCGGCTGTAACGATGGAGCGACGATGTCGTCATTGCCGTTGGACGAGTCCGGTAGCTTGGCGTCAACTTCGGGATGCGTAGAGGCGATTGGCGGTGGTACAGGTTCGCATGCATTTAAAACTTTCGAATTATCCTCCTCCTCCTCCTCGACATTCCCGGGCATCGTGCTCGCAGTCGGCATGTACGTCCCATGATGTATAACACGGTCCTTCTTTGTATTGAACAGCACCTTTAGCAAGAGAGAAATATCTTACTAAGCTAATCTTAAGGAACCATTCAAAGTGTCTACTGTACTTTTTTCGAAAACAACTGACAGCGAAATTTTTACATAAATCCACTAGGTAGAAGAAACTAAGATATTTTTCAAGCTTTTCTTATCGAAGGAGAAGAGAAGGGAGCTGTGTGAAGGAATCTTTTTTGAAAATTTCTCAAACATCTGCTTCAAATTTCGAATCATTCAAAATTTTCAATAAACCTCAAGTTTTACAAACTTTAAATTTTATAATACGCATCGGTGAAACACTGCGTTTCTCGTAAATGAAGAAAGGCATGAAAAATAGAAGGAATATTAAAAGCAAAGATGAAAGACATTTGCAAAATATATATAAAGATTTGAGGGCCTATTGGATCCAGTATGTGGAATGTAACTTCGTTTCTCAGAATCTTCGAGTTAGTAACAGACAATTGTGTCAAGATATTTCGTACTACACCGTACGACAGCCCCTGTTAGATTGTTAAAACATTCATGTGGCTAGAATACACACACACACACACACACACACACACACACACACACACACACATATAGACATAAATATTACCTCACTGCGACATGGTCCTGATGGATCAAGCATCAGGGTTACAACACTAGTGTTGTCCGCGCGCAATCGAGTCGATGACCATCTTTCTAGCGCACGATCCACGAGACTTTTCGAAGGATTTATCCACGTTTGCATGTCAGATAGCTGTCAAGTTTGTATTTTTTTTATAATCATCACCAACATGTACATTTACATACTTCCACAATTGTAATTGTAGTATATTTCAACAACCAGGTATGGTGTGTGGATGCATTAATTGCACTGCATTAAATAAAGTAAATCAGCTTGAGTAGCATAGAATAATCAAAACTTACTTCATTCCCAGTCTGCTGAGAGGCTATCAAGTGTTTCTCATTATGCCTATCTGTAGCTTGAACAATGGCTACTGCAGCTTGGGGAGACAACATGTTCCACAAACCATCGGTACCAAATATGAGACAGCGGTGTGACTTAACATCAACTGGAATAACTTTCACATCTGGTTCAGGTGACACCACAAAAGTGTCTAGCTCTGAATTATAACTCCACAAGTCACCTGAAAAGAAATTTCATCTAAAATCCTTTGTACACAAAAATGCAAAATATTTCGACTATAAGACTCCCAACATATATATTTACCCAATGATCTGGCTACTGCAAGAAAGGGGATTTCGTCCATATGAGTGGATCTGCGAACTGGACCTTTATGCCCTATACGAGGTCGATTCCATACCACTCTTGGAACACCAGATTTACTAACAACCTTTCCACCCGCGTCCTGTATGCGCATCATTTCCGGCCCACTCTCTGGCTTATGGTCTTTCGTCAGAGCTTTTGCTCTCCACTGGTTTTCACCTTCCGTTTGGTAGCCCAAAATGATAGCGGAATCTCCCACATGGCCGATGTAAATCTTGCCCTTTCGAATGAACGCGATGCTGGCGGTCGTGCCAGCTGTGGATGGCAATCCAGATGCGGTTCGTGGCCATTTGTCTGTTTGAAAAATAACACCAGGTCAAGATATAAATATACATGTATTTTCAGTCGCGCCCGATACGACCGGCAGATAAAGAGCAAGATTTCCGCGACCAAGGTCGAAGAAAGTGAGCAAAGTATCTGAAACGGATACAAAGATCTCGAATGAGCCACCTGGTTATATTTTACTCACGCACGACGATGTTGATAAAGGCAGCTCCGTCACAATAATTTGAATTCGTAACGGATCCACGAGTCAAAAGCGCGGCTTCGTTGGATTCGAATTTTTCAGGTTAGAACGGAAAGTTACATAACCTAAACTCTAACCTAATCAGGTCTAGTTGCGGTGGTGGGGGAAATACGCGGGACGGCGACAGAAATTCTCGCGAGAGCCGCCGCCGTCGCTGGTGCGGCGGCTCTTTCGAGAGACTATACCTCCGGTGCGTACCATCATCGGCGATCGCGAAAGCCCGAGGGGATCGTCGCGATTCGCTCGCTTGCACGCTCTCTTTCTCTCTCTCTCTCTCTCTCTCTCTCTCTTTCTTACTCGCTCACTCGCTCTAACATACAAACAAGTACAATTCCATTCGTACCGAGCTCTCGCCACATCGCGTAGTGCGTGTTCACGTATCCCTCCCTGATCGCCCGCAGTACGTCCTCATCGCGATCACTCCAAAAGTTCTTCTGCTTCACGATAATCTCCATGAGATGCTCCTTGGCGAACGTCGCGGCCTCGCCGCCCCCGTGGCCGTCGAATATGCCGAAGAACGCGTACTCGAGGTCTTTGTCGTCCGGAGTCGGCTGGAACGCCACGCAGAACATGTCCTCCATGTACTTGCGTCCACCTTGATTGCAGTGGCCGGTTACCCTCAGGTTAACCCCGATGCTGAGCGGCATCTTGACGCGCGACGATTGTCCGCCCAGTGATGACCACGGCGACGACGGCGGCGGCGACAACGTCGAAGTACGCAGATCTGTCTGAGCACGCCGTGCTTATTACGCACGCCGAAACGGAAGCCTCGCATTTACTGGCTTTACTGGGCAGGTCCGCGCGCGCTGTGTTGTAGCTGGCGAGGGGTACAACACACGCACACTCTCTCGCGCGCGCGATATCGCACGGCCGTGCCGGGGAGAGGGGGTAGTGACGTTGCAGTCGGCGACGGCATGGCGCGACGGTGGGGATGCGGCGGAGGGGCCAGGGACGCAAGAGGGGATCCCGCTTGCCCCTTGCCTTGCTGCCCCTCAGGGCTGTATGCGTCGGGTCGCGTCGCGCGCGTCATATCGCGTCGTCTCGCTCTCTTTCACTCTCCTTGTCGTCCTCTCTTCTTCCTCCGCGCGCTCTCTGTCCCCTTCTCGCGCGCCCGAGACGTGCCTCCTCTTGCTCCTCCTTCGCGCTGCCTCCCGTTGTACGATTTCACCGAGATATGCGCGCGGCCAACGTTCGGCGACGTCGCGCGTTTCTCGAGAATCGCGGCCCGAGCGGAAGATTTTGGAATGCACGCGCGTACTCGTCACACGTATTTTCGAATATACCGCTCGGCGCGTCTCGCGAGCGAGCGAGCGAGCGAACGTGCGAGACTGGCCGTTGGGAACGATCTCGCGCGAACTTCGATTTTCAATTTGAAGTCGAGCAGCGGGGAGGTCGGCTGGCGAAGGATAACATGAGCGAGAGCCTACACATATGTACAACATACACATCGCTCGCTCGCTCGCTCGCTCGCTCGCCTCGCGCCTCGCGTTGAAGCCTTGAAAGTTACCGGCCGAAGTTGGTCGAGATAGACGGCGGAATGAGTCTTATGAACGTCGTCGCTTTTAAGCCCATATCTTACCGCCACGGTATTTTTAGCCCGTTCTCTCATTACGTCCAATTACTCGGCCCGCCACGTGCTCCCTCGACGCGGCGAGCGATCCTCTAATTGGTGTGGTAAAAGCAGCAAATTAGAAATGGGCTTTACCCAGGACAGACGAGGAGAGAGAGAGAGAGAGAGAGAGAGAGAGAGAGAGAGAGAGAGAAGGATCTCGCGTTTCTAGACCTCCGTGAAGTTAGCGCGATCGTTAGACTTCGTTTCCAACGAGGTATATACACACAGGGGAATATGTATTACGGCTTGTTGAGCGCGCTCACTTCTCGGACATGCGGTAAAAAAGTGCGTACGCGCTCTGGCGTTAACGCGACGAACAAGACGCGCCTCGAGGAAGAGGGAGAAACGACACTTATCGTGCCCTCCCAATACGAGGTCCTCGTCAAACGCGGCTCGTTCGTCAGCTAGATAACGTCAAAACGTCAGCGGGAGGGAAGGAAGCAGCACGGCGGACGCGCGTGACGTCCGCGATTGATCGGGCGATAAATCGACGTTACAATCCGCGCGGTCAATCGATTTACCCGCGAGAATTGTTTATCTACCGATTACGCGCCGCGGCTCTCTGATCATTATTTCGGATCACCGTCGAGGCGCGCCGCCCCGGTGGCACGGCACTCTCCTATCGATAAAGTCGATTTGTCGTCATCTATTTTTTTTCTCTTTATCTGAAACGCTAGAGGTTCTCACACGACTCTCACGACGACTCGCGTACTCTCTCGTGCTCAATCTAACCGAACCGTGTTAGAGTTCGTGCCTTTGAAATCGCACTCTGAAGCCAAAATCATAGCCGAAGAAAATTCCCTTCGACCGCACCACCTACACTCGTTTTCCTCCCTTTCGACCCTTTTGACACGACCAAACGTACTCGCGTCGTTCGAAATATAACGGACGTTGAAAGTTCAGCGAAAGGGAGGGGGGGGAGGTACGAAACAAAGTACGAAACTGCGGCCAAAGTGCGCAAAGACAAGACGCCAAATGAAGGAACTAAACGAGCCATCTAAACGCGTCGGCGACTGACGGGCGGGAAGCTGCTTGAAATTTCCAAAACGTCCCCGCGGGCGGCAGCTTACACGGTAACATTAGCTTGCTTGTATTACACGCAGCAGCCGGCAGTAGCTCGTCCCTCTCCCGGCGCCGCGCCGCGCCGCGCTGCGCGTCAGGGCCGATCCCCACCGTAGCGGAAACTTTTATGCGCCCCTCTCCCCGCGTGCGCGCGCGCACCGCAAGCGACCGACAACGATCCTCTCTTTCCCGCCATGCCCCGACAACGCGGTGGCCCGACAAACGTCGGTGCTATTCATGCCGCGCATCTCCGCTCACGCAGTCGCGGCGTTGCCGCACTTCCTCCCGCCAGCCAGCCAGCCAGCCAGCTTGTTCGCCTGCCTGCGCTCTCTCACCGTTGTCGCAAACGGCAACCCGATTTCTTGTCCAGCTCGGCCGGACAGCGTCGTCGCGAAGGACGCGTCGGAAAAATTGGCCGAAGCGTCATCGAGCGCGACTCGCGATCTGCGAGTTCACGGTCGACCCGTCACTGACCAGCTCTCCTATGCCTCGTTCATATTCATATTTTCCCCAGCGTTCTTTTTTCCTCATTATGTAACTGCTTTGTCGGGCATTGTCACGGATGCATTTATTCTTATTGCATATGTGTATCGAACGATCTATCGAACTCGCGCAAAGGCGGCCGACAAAGGGTATAACGGGGGAGCGGAATATCAATTCGGAACGGCGACCTCGTTGAGGTCGTGGCAACGGGTAGAGTGTATAAAAAGCAATCGCGACGAGAGAGCGAGCGGGCTCGAGTGAAAAGAACGTATGCCGTTGTTTTGCCGAGTCGTTCGCCGTCGTTATCTCTGCGCCGAGCGAGCGGCCGGACGAGTCGGACACGTGTTTGAACATGTTCGATCGTGTAGCGTCGACGACGACGTCTCGGCGAGCTTACGAAGCGTCTGTCTCTCTCTCTCTCTCTCTCTCTCTCTCTCTCTCCCCCCCTCTCTCTCTCTCTCCTGCCTCTCGCAGTTGATAAACGTGACAACGTCGCATCGCGCCGTTCAAAATAGCTCTCACCAGCTGGCGACTTTCGCCCGACCCACGGACGGATTAAAGTCTGCGAAAACGCGCGCCTTACCCTGGCGAGGGAGTGTATGCCGATCGACGAGCGGATCTCGGTCCCTCCGGCGATCGTGAACGTTGGCATGAGCAATTTCTACCTGTAGTTGTCCGCAATGTTCGAGAAATCGAACGGTCCCCCGGTGCGTTGTGGCCGATGATACGGTCGAAATGTGTCATCGATTGCATCATCCTCTCGGAGAAAGATGGCCGCCTCCGTCTGTCCGTTCGACGAACAGTTATGTCGGCACTACGTGAGTCGACGTGGGGGTCAGATTGATGTCGTGGCTGAAAACTGAGACGAGAGTGAGAGGATCTCGTTGAAATGTCGAGTCATTTTCGAGGGACAAAAACGAGAAGGCGGGTTTAGGGTCGCTGAGAATCGTAAATTGACGCTTCTCGAAACTCGGTTTGTTGCACTTCCTGTGGCGAACAATGCCAACGATACCAATGGCGCCATCTATGTTTTATTACCCAAATCATATGGGAAAGGTTACGGGGGAACTGTAACGCTTTATACTTGTTTCCCAAATGTATTTTATACACGCTACAGCCTGTGAATCCCGGGTGAGTCGCGATAAATTTCTCTTATCGGCTGTCACAACTTCGACCATTGCGACTCGTTTTATCAGGACTCACCACCAAGTTGCACCACCGAGCTCTTCCGCAACGCGGCAAACAATAGACGCGATGGTCACATCCGGTTTGTTTGTTTGTTTGTAAGTTACAACGAACATTTTCAAGATATTTAGCTCGATTGGCTAATCAAATTCTCCAATCTGTGTGAGGCGCGTCAAATTCAAACAGCAGCCCTGCGATCGGTTGCGACCCGCCGAGATGGCTCGCTCGCTTGCTCCTGCCGCGACAAGCATCGTGGAATCAGGATCTCGCGCAGCGACACGGGCATGATTTTTCGCAAGCCGTTCGTCGTCACGTTGCTCCCTTGGCACGGTATCGTACACATGTGCAAAGTGTCTATGATATATGCGACCTGCGTGCATCACGTTTGCGCGTGCGGCCATCGCGATTGCGTTGGCATCTTTTTATCGATTGTCCGTTGCGTCTGAGCGATACGTGACACACGCGGCATCCGGAACGGGCATTCCCCGTTCGTTCTACTAGACTGTGCAAGTTCGTGCTTGTCAGATCACGTTCGAGCGTCGGCCACCTTGCTAAACTATGAGTCACGAGAAGCGGTTTGGTGACTTATGTTGGCAGAATTTCACGTTAACCGAGACTTCGCCTAAAGACAGTCGCTCTTAAACTGCGATTGTTTATGCTATTAATAGGGTAACCGAACCCCATTTCCACGTAGGACTAAGTAAGGACACGGAGCGAATCAAAATACTTCGTAGTTTCAAAAAGGATTGTAAAACTGGCGGGTTTAAACTTCTTTCGATCTTTTGTTTCTGACCGAAACTTGTTTCTCACAATAACGTTTTCTGAATGTCATTTTACGGCGTTTTTGGTAATATAAAATTATTTTGGTTATTCTCGGTTATTAGTAGAAAGAAATATATTTTATATTTAAGTAATTGTATTATTTATATAAAAATAAGTTCATTGAAATTAGATTTATGGTCTTGAAAAGGACCTTGCCACACAGCAGAGTGGCGCAGTGGAAGCGTGCTGGGCCCATAACCCAGAGGTCCGTGGATCGAAACCACGTTCTGCTAAGAATATTTATTTTTGTATTATTAATATAACTTTATCAATTATAGAAATACCTTTTATTTCATATTCCTTGCAAAATATTTAAGATAAAATGTATGAAACTACCATTTTGTCTTCTTTTGAATGTATTCTTCTCACAATTTTTTCAGTAAAAAGTAAATATGAAACACCTTGAAAAAAAAAATTAAGTTTATATAATCAACTAGTTTTCTTTTTCTAAATATAATGTATCAAATCACTATTTACTGTAGATTATATCAAATTTCTGCAAAAAGTAAATCCGCCCAACGTGGGGCTCGAACCCACGACCCTGAGATTAAGAGTCTCATGCTCTACCGACTGAGCTAGCCGGGCTACTTGGTAACCGCGTGTTTTATTAGATATATATGTATCAAACAGTTCTATGTGAATAGAACTTTATATCACTTCCTTTATATTATTTCTTAATATTATCATATTAAATTAAATACGATCGTATATATAAATAACTGAGAACAACGAAAAGTAATTAATTTCGTAGGGAAAGCAAACAAATACTTGCTGCACAAAATAAATTTTTATTAGGACCTGTTACGTTTTAATAGCAAATAGCTTATTACAATTCCGACAATAAATATATTATGTACATAAACGTTTTATTATATATGTATATATATATTAAAATGAACACAAACAAGAGTTGCTTTAGCGCGAGGCGTCGCACTGGTTCACGTCCATATGGCACTCGAATCCGTTATCGTCGTCGATGTATACTTTACAGCGTAAACTTTTTACACACGTATCGCTCCCTAACCTTCTCAGTTATAATTCCACGACGTATTTAACGATCACAGTGGCAACGCCCGCAAGTAAAGCTTGTTGTCAGACGAGTAGTGTGTGTATGTGTGTGTTACAACTAATAATCTAAGCAATAACTAACTATAGCGCGTCACGTATCCAACGTATTATATATTCTGATATGTTACCCGAGATATACGTTATTGAAGAGGACTCTAAAGGACCAAGTTCAAATATAGCCATTCGCGCAAATATATATATATATATATCTCTTTATTTATTTATTTATTTATCAGCTTAAGCGTTTTCAAATATGAACACATTGAGTGACAACATTGACAATACCGAATCTATCCGCGTGTTTTTTCTACCCCGGGGAAAATTTTTCTCCTCAAGATTTCCCGCTATTTACCAACTTAACTCTCTATGTTCGTGTTCTATCGATCGTCGTGTTAGTCCGACATTCGTATCGCACGATTAATTCTCAACTGTCGTCGTTAAAACAGGGGATAATTAATGTATCCGCATTGCGACAAGCATCGCAAACGCTACGAAGAACGTCAAACATTTCGCCTGTTCGATTTCATTAGCCGTGGAGCAACCGGGCGGGCATTCCAACGGCTCGCTGCTGCGATTCTGGTAGAGGAGACTTCTCATGATCTTCTTACCCTCGCACGAGTTCTCCACCTTGACAAACTTGATTTTGCGCATCTCGAGGAACTGCTCCAGGTCCATCCGGCACCGCCACTTGAGCGGGTTCCCGGCAAACTCAACGACGTGCAGATCCGACATGTCGCTCAGGTCGCTCGTGAAGATACACTGGAGATCGTTGCCCTCGAGATTCAAGTAGACCAGCCTAGGCAGCTGACGGAAGGCACCCGGTGCGATATAGCGGATCGAGTTACCGCGCAGATCCAGTCGCTCGAGACGCTCTATATTGAACCAGCCTTGCTCAATCGACGTCAACGGGTTCTGCTGGATAGTAAGACGCTCCAAGGAGTCCAAGCCTCTGAAGGCACCAGCTTCGATCGTTCTCAAGCCGCAGTTTCTGATGACGAGTTCTTGCAGTCGCGGGAAATTGTAGAGAGACCCAACCGGCAGACGTGGCAAGTTGCCCTCATGGAACTCGATGGCGACGACGTCGCGAGGTATGCTCTTCAGCAACGACAGATTGCCGCCGATGCAACGGTATCGCAGCCCCGTGGAATCCTGCTGAACAGTGCAGGAGCCCGTGATGGGTTCTTGGTGCAGAGGCACCGAGGGTGGCTCGGTCGTGGTGCTCTTCGAGGTGGTCAGTATCGTCGTGGGTGTCACTGGCAGGCCCGTGGCGTAGCAGTCGTCATTCATGCTGAGCAAGGACTCGCGGTCGTAGCGAATTCCACGGGAGTCCAGAAAACTGGCCAGCTTTGTACCGCATAGGCAACTCCAGGGATTGCCTGAGACCCGTAAAGAGAGCAAATGCGGCATCTTGCGCGCCATGTATTCCACCCCAATGCAATTCATGTAGTTGTCAGAGACGTCCAAGCCGCGTAGTTGTGGTAACATGTCGAACGCGTCGTTCGTGATGCGGTAGATGTGGTTGCGCGACACGTCCAACTGGCGCAGGTTCGTCAGGCCTTCTAGAACTTCGGACGTCATGGACTCTAGCTGGTTGCTGTGCAGCGACAGATACTGCAGGTTGTAGAGATCGGCGAAGGCTCGATACTCGATCTTCTCGATACCGCAATTGCGCAGCTCCAGCCTGGACATGTAGCCATCGAAGCGGGCGAACGCTCGCGTCGGGATCGTCTTCAAGTTTGAGAGGATAATACGGACAGTGTGCGCCGAACGCGGTATGATCTCAAGTTCCTGCAGCGAGTTGATGCCACTGCAAGTGTACACCTGCCGCGACCACTCGGTCTTGTCGAGCACACAGGTACCCTTACTCGGCGGTTGTGGCCTCTCAGTGGAGACTTGGATGGTCGGAGCGACGGTGCTCGGTCTCGTCACAGTGATGTTCCTTTCGAGCAGAGTCTCCTCGAAAGAGGTCCATCGTACTTGGCCGATACCCGTCGTTGTCGTGTGTTCGACCTAAGGTGAAAGCAAAATTATTAGGACTTGAAGAGCTACAACGGGTTCAACAGTTTAATATACCCAAACAGCGAATTAAAATTACTTTGATATAAAATATAAACATAAGATATGTACACATGACTCTTCACGAAACGAGGAGCTTTATTTCCCACCTCTTCGAGTTTCGTGCTTCGAATTTTATTTCATTCGAACTCGTACGTACTTGCCAATGCTGCCCTCTATCGTCGCCGGTGGTCGGCTCGCCAACCTCTTTCCCATTCTCGTAGCAGCGACCGCCGCTAATCTCGAAGCCTATGTGACGTTCCATCAACATTCGCTGCAGGTTTCTGCGGCACTCGCAGTTCCACGGATTACCGACTGCGTCGAGTCGCTCGAGTCGCCTCAGATGCGTCAGCTCGTCCGGCGACAGACATTGCAGCCGGTTGTACCGCATGTCCAGATGGCGCAAGCTGTCGCTCAACGGGCGCAGCGCGCCTGGTTCGAGGCGCTCGATGGCGTTGCGCGCGAGCACCAATTGTTGCAGCGCCACGAGATCGCTGAACCAATGGGCGGCCACCGCGGGCAGCCGGTTGCCGACGAGCACAAGACGCTGCAGCTGATGTAGACCGGCGAACGCGCCGGGCTCGATCACGTCGATGGAGCAATCGCGCAGCTCGAGGACGCGCAGACTGTTGCCGAAGCGGAAGAACGCGTACGCGGGCACGCGATCGATCCGCAGCCCCGTGATCTCGATCCATGTGCTCCTGTCCGGCAAACGGTCCAGCGACGTCAACGCGCTCGTCTGGAAGTGGTTGCTGTAGCGCGATTCCTGCAACACGCGGAGAAAACAAATTCAGGAGATGCCACCGATGCCGTCACACGTCGACGGTTCGTCTCGTCGTTTTCCCTGCTCTGCTCGTCACACAATTCTGTCAAGCTTCGATTTGCTCTTTCTCGAATAATTGCTGCAACAAGCAGCAGCGAGACAAGTGTGTTTCGCTCTGTCTTTATTGCACCAATGTGCCACCGGTTCGGAAAGTTCTCCGAAAAAGAGCAGACTAGAGCCGACGCTCTACACTTTCATCTACGTCTCTCCAGCGTTGAATTCCGCGGAGGCTCGATGCAGCCGAGCGAACGCAGTCACGAGAGATCCTGCGGCAACTTCAGGGCGCGCGCGATGTTTCCAAACATGACAGACGCGTAACGGTTAATGCTTCATGTTGCGACATCTGCATGGTCGTTCGGTTCGATTGCATATCGCGCGCGCGCGCGCGCGCGCAATTTTGTCAGTGCGCGACGGTGAGCCAATCAGGCTGATAGTTCGCCGGGTCACGTGACGCGCGTTGCACGCAAGCTCACGTTCGGATAGCGATTAACGTTCCGTTGCTCGCGCTCGCGCTCGCGACACGTCGGCTTGCGTCGTTTGCGATCAAAAGTTGCAAGAATCGCGACGTGTTTTCGTGTTTTCTCTCTCTCTCTCCCTCTCTCTCTCTCTCTCTCTCTCTCTCTCTCTCTCTCTCTCGCGTGTTGACGCTGGACGCGTCCTGCGGCCGTGTGCGGCATCGTGCATATTGCGTGCGAATCACGGCGGATTCTCGCGGGCGATCAAGTCGCTCGTTCGTCGAGAACCGCTCGATGGGGGAAAATAAAAGAGTGCTCGTCACGCTGACAATCGCGCAGCGATCGTTCGCGATCTTCGTGCGACGGTTGCGCGCGATTTTTTTCCTGCGGGAAGCAACCGCGTGAGAGCGTGTGTGTCTTCGCGCAGCTGACGATAAACGCGTGTCACTTGGCCGCCGGTGTTTCGTACATGTCGCGTGTGATCTCCGACGATCTGAAGAAGCACTCGCGCGTGACCGTGAGAGCACGGGAGAAACCGCCGAGGGAGGACGATGACGCTCGCCGAGGACGCTCGAGGATTCACGCCGGAGATGGCGACAACGCGGCGTTACCTTCCGATCGGGTGAGTCCATTGAATCCTTAGTTTGACGTCTCGTGCGTATAATGCGTATCGACGTTCTGCGAGAATAGACGAATCTCTCTCTCTCTCTCTCTCTCTCCCTCTCTCGGCGAGATCGCGGTGTCGAATTTCCGGGAATGGTGGCTTTTACGTTAGACCGGTAAAGAGAAATGGCCGACTCGAGTGCGAGAGAGAAGCAGAGATCGAGACGTCACGCAGCGTTGATAATTTTTCATACGCATCCGGTGTGTGCGTGCATGTGTGTGTGTGTGTGTGTGTGAGAAATATCACGATGAATTTTCAACTTCCGCGACGGAAATACGACTTCTCGTCGTTCCTAATCAACACTTGTTGATGCGTCGTATTTTTCGCGTCTCGATATTTGCGTACGCGCGTGAAAACTCTCTGCGGCACGCATTCGGGAGTTAAAACACAGGTATTGTGCGCGGGAGAGATATTATTCACGGATCTTCGCGTTAGATTTCGATATTGTCACGGGTGATAAGGGAGGCTCTTTAGACGGGTGATAACGCAATCGAGCTGATATAGAGCGCGATTATTGCGCACGCTATCGCCGTTCAGTATCTCCGCTTCTGTCTCATTTGACGACCGCAGTTTGGCTGAAACGTGATCTCGGGAAAATAAGGCAACACGATTCGCGCGACACATAGCCTCATTATCGCGGCTTGTTTTCTGCGATACTGCGCGCTGCGGCCGCGACGCGATGAAAAGGCGTCAAATTGATAAGATTCGGTATCTCGCGCGGTAACTTCACCTCGTAACCTCCGATCTGCTCGACGGTTATTATTGGAAACAAGATCGGGATGTCGATCTGCGTCATACACTGCAGCCTCTGGTGTACTCCCGGCGGAGGTTTGCACCGCTCCTCCTGAACGATCGACCTCTCGCGGAAGAAGCGGTCCAGTCTCATGCGGCACTCGCACCACCACGGGTTGCCGTCGATGCGCACGGCCCTGAGCATCCTCATATGCGACAGTTCCTCCACCGGCAGACAATCGAGGTCATTATCGCGCAAGCCTAGAGTCTCGACTCGCGGTAGCATGCGAAAAACGTCAGGCTCGACGTGCACCAGGCCGCATCTGGAACAAATGCGCGAGTGTGCTTTACGTGCCTTTACGGGACTTGTGTGCTCTTTCGTATCGTAGGCATGGCAATCTCTCAAGGTTCTTCAAGTTCGAATGTACTCTTCGAATTTGCCACAGGGGGATCTCGTTGGAAGATGCGATTTTGTCGCATTGAACGCATTCACTCGAGGCGGCAAGCGAATGTACCGCTCTATTCGGAATTGCAAAAGTGGCTCTTCTTCAAATCAGCTGTGAATTTTTGAATCCTCGATTTTGGATCCTTGCTCCTGATGAACTGGTTTCAATCGATCGGATAATTTATCTCTGCGACAATGTAGCATTGGATTCTCATTCTTGAACTCGCAGCAATAATCGCCAATGGCAAAATCTCGGATGAGATAAAATTCAATTTCGAGCGAGAACGTAACATTCACTCAAGGATTTAGGATGGAGGATTTATGCTGTACGTGAGCGAGAAGTCGCTGAGACTCGAGTGACCACCCTAGTAGCGCATATTGTTGGGCCAATATTGGCTACAAATTGGACCCCCAATGTAAGTCAACAATATTGGTACAACAATGCTGTGCAATATTGGCGATATATTGTAATTTAATGTCTAACCGATATTGGCTGTATATTGGGACGCACTGGGCCAATGTAACCTCAATTTATGTCAACCGTGACCAATGGTAACACCAATGTAACACCAATGAAGTGTGCTACCAGGCTATTACCAGCCCGCCGTTCGAGTGAAATTTCGCCCTGGAAGAGATTCAGGAAGTAATCACGCGTGGTTCGAGCGACTGGACTAAACCGCGGACGATGTACCTGTCCAGGATCAACTTCCTGAGATTCGGCAGATGCCGGAACCACGCGGCCCTAGCCGCGTGGACCCGCGTGCCGTGGAAAATCAGCCAGTCCAGGCGGTGCAGGCCGCGAAAGGCTTCGGGTCCGATGACGTTGACGTGACAATTGTAGAAGGACAGGCGGCGTAAATTTCGGAATCGGTGGAACGCGTCGTCCGGGATCTCGCGGAAGCGCGACACCGAGAACTCGATCCACTCGGTCTCGCTGGACAGCTCGTTGAGGTCGCTCAGGTCGCCGTGGATGCACGCGTAGGCGATCGACCGCTCGTTGTCGGCGATCGGCGCTAAGCTGCATTTGCCGTGCACCCGGCCAATTAGGCCGACCAACGCCCAAAGCAGCAATATCGAATTGACCATCCTTCCTCGCGACGGCGAGCTGCGGTAGTAGTAGTGGGTCGCCTACGGAGACGAGGACGTTTCGATTTAATGGTATATCGATATCGCGGGACTATACGTAAAGAGACGCGACGACGCGGGATGACGCATAAATTGAAAAAAAAGAGCAATTTCCATTTTAATGGGATATCGATATCGCGAGATTATACACGAAGAGAACTTATGGGCTGACGCATAAATTAAGAGAAAAAAAACACTGAAGCTGTTAAATCTCACGCTGAGAAAAATCGGAAGCGTGTACGTGCGCCTCGCGCGCGCGCGCACTTTTCATTAGCGTTAGCCGCTCATTAGCAGGTTGGATGTCGTAACATCGTGATAACACCGCGTCTCATGAAGTTACGTACGTCACAATTACACGCAGAGTGCACGAGATATGAGAAACAGGCTATAATTGATTACGTAAAGAGAAAATATCGAACGGCTGAGCGAGAATCGAATGAGAAGCGAGCCGACAGCACCGCGCGTTTTTCCCATCGACGTCAATTAAACCCCAACCCGCCCGAGTTGGAGGTCGTCTCTTCGAGACGAGGAAAAGCCAAAGTCAGGCTAAGGTCTGATCGAATTGCGAGAGCGAAAGCAGAGCGTTACGTCCGCTCTCGGTATTTTCAAGCATTGAATCATCGGCCGCGCGTTTGCGCAATATCGGCGCGGCGCATAAAGGAGCTTAAAGCCGCCGCTTGGGAAGAAGCGCGCGTTTCAAAATCAAAACACTCACCGTGGGCGAACGAACGTGCGTCGTCGTAAATATTGTCGGGCGGACTCGCTCGGGCACTGCGACGCGTCGCGCGGCACTGACGCTCGCATCTGTCAAAAAAGCGGAAGAGCCCCGCGCGCGCGCGCCGCGACTCGTGCCGCGCTGCCGCCCACGAGCTGCCTCCGTTTCTGCCAAGAAGAGACGTTGATTTTCCGCGGGGATCCCCCACCGCGACGGCGACCCGCCGAAGTGACCACCGCCGCCGCGCGCGCGGCCGCTCCTTTAATGGCTCCTATATTTTTCCGATCGCGCTGCGGCTTCGGTCTCGCGCCGCGTGGTCGATTGCATTTTCAGCAACCTCCTCGTAATTGCTCCAGTGGAAGTTTCCAGCGGCGACGATTGTTCCCACGTGCGAGAGCACAGCACCTGCGTCGACGCAGGCTGGCTGTTCGCGCTGCTGCGAGAGAAAAAGTCGCTCGAGTGGAGAACGCGACGGCGGCGGCGGCGAATTTTTTCGCGCGGGGACGCGCAGGTGACACGCGGCGAGAAACGCTTCCAACGGGGAAGATCTCGCGGTTGGGTCCGATTTTTGTCAGCTGCCGCTTTGCGGAACTTTGCTTTCGTTTGGGTCTCGCGCGACGAGCAGCGAAAATCGTTGGTAGAGCGCGCCGTCCGTTCGCACTAGAGAGCGCGATAGAATATCGGTTGCACACGTCGTCGACGTCGTCGTCGTCGTCGATAGGTCGAAACGACTGAGCTGGCGAATCGGCCGTTTCCTCGTTATATAAGCTCGTAAGGCCAAGGTCGCCCTTGTTCCCTGCGCCGGTAGTGTGGATGCACACCGATTTCTGCCTGCAACGAGTACCTATCTTTAGCACGGCGCGCTCTAGTTTGGCAGAAAACTAGTAGACACGTGCGATACAGCCATATGTGCGCGCGCGCGTGTGTGTGTGCGTGCGTGCGTACGTGCGTGCGTGCGTGCGTGCGATGCGTAATACCGTGATTTTTCCTCGCGAACTCCGCGACCGCTGGAAAAGCGCGCGCGCGCGCTGCTCTAAATTTCTTCCAGAGAAATCTCTTCGCGATTTTTCGCTCATGCGAAGCAAATTCCCCACTCTGATCCGTCGAAGCGAAGATCCCCACTCGAAATTGAAGACTCCGTCGTTAAACAGGAACACAAGTTCACTCGGAGCGACTTGAAAATGAAACATCGAGTTTCAGGCGAAGACGCTCACTCTTCTTCGGGGCTGGTGGTGCTTCCGCTCCGCGAGGGAGAGCCTTTACTCCGGTACGCGCTGTCGCGTGTGTATGTGTGTGTGTGTGTGTGTGTGTGTGTGATTTTTACGGGTCGGGCCTCGCGATCGAACTCCGCCGCTCCGCGCCTTCGTACTTTGTTCTTCTCCCCCGCGGCGTTACTTCGCTCTCGCACGCCCCTTCGCGCCGCTACTTACCTGCGATACCCCACCCTGTGTGGCACCCGTGTGTGCTGGTGTCGAGTCGCTCGCTCGGTCCACACCTGCGACCCACTACCACGTCCCGCGAAAATGGTAGCGAGACTTCCTCGGGTCGTCAAGGTCTGCCCGCGGCGCACTCATTGCCGACGACGACGCGCTCTTTGCGTTTCCGTCTCTGTCTGCGCCTCGCGGTCCTTCTCGCACCGCGTTGTTTACGACAGCACGCACGCACGCACGCACACGTTACCGCGACCAAGTACGCTGCTTCTTGAAACGCTCCGTTTGCGCCCCCCTCGGTGTCTCCCTCTCTCCCACCTCTCCTCACCTCTTCGTCCTCCGCCGCACCCCCTCTCTCGTCTTCTTTCACATACGTCACATCACTGTCTAATTTCTGCGCAATCCTTGGCTTTGACCGAGATGCAAGTACAGGTGGGCGCGTCTTTTGCAAACTCTTCGCCGCGAGTGAAGACCGCTCTTCCGAGATGTTTCTCGGACAAAGCCGGGCGGAGAAGGTTCCTCAACCAAAAAGGACACGAGATCCGCGGGTTAAAGGGGTGGGTGACGTTACGATCGCAAGTCGTCGGGATCGTGATTAACGGTAAACGACGTTGATGGGACCCGCCTACCGCGGGCGAATTATTTCCCGACAGCGAGCGGATCGATTATTTCTTCGAGTGCTCGGCTCTTACATAGGCGTATATAACGCTAGAAAGCGCGTTAGAGTATTAATAGACTCGTAAAGCGTACATGGTCGCGCTCGTAAGAAGCTTGTAATTACGATGAGACGACAATATATGGCACTATCTGCTGTCGGACGGACGGACGGACGGACGGACAGACGGCTCGCGCGCGCTACTTGCGTATCGCGATACGCGGTTAATGCATTTCGTTATGCAATGTCACGGTCTAGTCCAGAAATGCGCGTTACGTCATGCGGCTCGCGGTGGTCCCGCGTGTCGTGCACTTTGGGAAGAGCTCGGTCGCGAGTGCGCACCGCTTTGCACCCACGCACGTCGTCTTTTTCCTCCGCTCCCCCGCATCTTTTTTTTTTTTTTTTTACCTGTGACGTGTAATGTTATTTTCTTAGGGCCGACTGTTCCAACTTCCTGGTAAGTTAGCTGATGGTTGAATCATATGTTCCTCTTTGTTTTTTCTTCAACTTATAGACCAAGACAAGACGTACGATTTAACTTATCAAGGAGTTGGAGCAACCTGCCCTTAGGACTGGTTATTCCAACTTCTTAGTAAGTTAACTGACAATTGAATCATGTGTTTATCTCTGTTTTTCCTTCAATTTAGACAAAGACATATGATTTGACTATCAGTTAATTTACCAAAGAGCTGGAACAATCTGCCCTTAGGAGTGGTTATTCCAATTTCTTGGTAAGTTAACTAATAGTTGAGTCATCTTTGTTTTTTCTTCAACTTAGACAAAGACAGACATACGATTTAACTATCGGTTAACTTACCAAGGAATTGGAATAACTTGCCCTTACTCGTATGATATTTATCCGATCAGTGTCATTTTTACGAGTCTATGTCAGTCCGTCAGTCGGTGACAGAAGAGAGCGACGAATTCGATAGCCTCTCTCTCTCTCTCTCTGTCTCGGTACACCTCGACATTGACATTCACCGAGTAAGTCGACTCCGTCGTCGAGGCTAAGTCGCCTTGAGCTCCCCTCTGGGGTTTCCGGTAATCAAATTGATCGATCGCCGCGGTGACGCTTTTAATCTCATCTGTTGTGCGTAACAAGCGAGTGCATGTCAAAGTGGCAAAAAAAAAACGCAACGTCTCGCGCGCGCGTTGCGCGCATTGAAGGACAAGCAATGGAAAAAAAAAGAAAAAAAAAACTGAGAATCGCTCGAAATCACCGGGCGAATCGCGTCGCGAGTCTTCCGCGGCCGTACGATTTTTCCGGAACTGGAACGGAACTCACCGGAACGCACGCGCGCGGCGCTTAATTGGCGGAACGAACGGGACGGCCGATGTTGAAAAAAGTCCAGAAACTGCAGCCGCGAACTCGGACGGGCCGGGGGACGGCGTCTCGTCCCGTCCCCCGTCCCAGCCCGTCTATCCATTAATCCATCTATCCATCCACCCATCCATCCGTCTACCTTGCCCATCCAAGCCGAATGCCAAAGACGATGCGTCGTCATCGGCCGGCAGTCTCGCGCGGGCTGTCGTTCGCGACGCATGCGGTTCCGCGTTCGTTCGTTCGCATTCTCTCCCGTCTGTTCTCTCGCGCTTCTGTCTGTTCCTGCGCTTGTTCTCCGCTTTTTCGCCGTCTTCCTCGACGCGATCGAAATCGCTGTTTCAGCGAACGGCTGTCGCGCGATTCACGACGATCCACGGTGGTCGCCTCGGAGGAATCGCGTGAGTATCGGCCGCGAAGTCCGCGACGGGCGAAGTGACGATCGATCGATCGATCGATCGATCGGCTGCGATCGCTGAAGAACGCGTGTAGCATCCGTGTGCTTTTCCACCTATCGGCGACGTTAACCAGACGAGAGAGAGAGAGAGAGAGAGAGAGAGAGAGAGAGAGAGAGAGAGAGAGAGAGAGAGAGAGAGAAAGAGAGCGGTCGTATCGAGATGTTGTCACGTCGATCATCTCGCGGGATCGTTATTGAAGAAGCGCGTTGACGTAATGGATTTCCGAGTGCGTTCCCGTACGTTCCCGTGTGGGCGACCTTGACGTTCGGATATTTACCGCGGTAAGCAGGAAAGAAGGAAGGAAGGAAGGAAGGAAGGATCTCGTCGCACGCTCGACGACGTGGGGAAATCACGATCGAGGGCAGCCGGGAAGAGCGGCAACGGGCGGAAAAATGGATTCTCACGGCGGTAGCGCGAGCTTCCCCCCACGTCGCGATCCGCGGCTAGATTTACGTGGGACGTCACGAGCCATAATCACGGCAGGTGGGTAGAACCGAACAGGTATTTGGAGCGCGACAGACACAGACAGACAGACAGACAGACAGACGGACGGGGCAGGCGAGAGCAGGCGAGTTCTGCGGCGATGCTTTGCGACTCTCGTGTAAAAACGAGCCGAGAGCGGAGAGCCGTCGCGCGCCGCCACGGTTTCGCACGACGACCATGTCGAGCGAATGAAATTAGCGGCGATTAGGTCAGAAGGTCACCCACTTAGCGTAGACCGAAGTCACGCGGCGTGCGGATCGTCGCCAGGAGAGCGCTCAGGGGAGGAAAGGGCTTCGATGTCTCTGCGACTGTAAATGAGCGATGAAATATCAGCGAGATGAAACGTTGTCGGGGAAGCCATCTTTATTACCAGCATCGCTACGAATATTATTATCGGCGATAATAATATAACCTCGTCAGAAATATATCGCTATTATCTTTGTGGGAACAACAAAAAGACATGGCTGGCGCCGAAAATAATGGTGGCTTTCTCCAGCGGGGGGAGGGCGGGGAGATCACCGTAAAAAGCCCGAATAAAACAAACGAACATTTGGGCAATGAGAGACGTCTTCGCCTCGCATACTTGGCGCAGCCAACGACCGGGACGAGCGTATTCGAAGCCCCGACCAAAGGCGGCGACTTCTCGTAACGTTCATTAGCGACGATTAAACGACGCGTCATCGGTCATCTCGCCGATCTGGAAACGCACTCGGCCGGCGATGACGGAGGCGCCGCGCTTAGCGCGATCCACATCGTTCTAATGGCACAATTCGAGGAAAGAGGGCATCGGGGGAGGAGGGCAATAGGTTCGCGGGTGATTCCTCATACTTTGTTGTATCAGGAGTACCGGAAAGTCCACTCGTTTTTCCGTATACTTCACTTGGTTCGAACGCTGCCGTTTTCCAGGAGTAAGCTTCATCTTCGTGAAAGTTGATATATACAACATAAAGAAACATTGCTAACTAACTGGGATTTAAATTAATTAAATTAAGAGGGTTAGAATTAAGAGCTCGTATTATAACCACGGAAATTGAAGGCTTTAACCCTTTGAGGCAAAGTATTTTTCAGAAAATCCGAATCACATGAAAATTTATATACGGGGGTTTCTGAGGTTGCTGATTACGAATCCGTTATCAGATTATCGAAATTCAAGATGGCGGACGCAAAAATGAAAAATCGCGATAACTTCGGTGACAATGGGTATTGTGGGGCTTTTGGAGTCGCTGATTACGAATCCGTTATTAGATTTTCCAAATTCAAGATGGCGGCCACAAATATGAAAAATCGCGATAATTTCACAATGAGTGACAATGAATTTTGGACCTCGGATTCGTAATCAGCGATCTTGAAGACTAAACCAAAGTACAATTTCAGCTAATCATATGAAAATGTTATGATCCGCCATCTTGGAAAGTAAATTTTAGGATTTGGATTCGTAATCAGCGAGCTCAAAAACTAACCAGACTACAATTTTAGCTAATTTAATAAAAATTCTATGATCCGTTGCCTTGAGTCCGCCATCTTGGAAAATAAATTTTGGAATGTGGACCTCAGATTCGTAATCAGCGAGCCAAAAAGACCCCAAATCTTGATTTTAAGCAAGAAATTCACTCGTAGTTCGTGGAAAATGATTTTTTTCTGCAAAAATATGTATTATTTGTAATAAATGGACACTTATGCAAAACACTTTTCAACCTTTCATGTATGTTCCCATATCATACATGAAGCTAAAAAACGCAAAAAACCCGACAAGAATCCCTCAATGAAATATTTCATGAAAATGTGAGAATAAATAGGTGGCAAGTATATACTTACCACTATGCCTCAAAGAGTTAACGTACGAAAAGATTTTCCGGTGTCCGTCATAGCGCGAATGATCGTCCGTCCCGCGCAGAGCAGAACGGAGCAGAAGCCGCAGTGTGCGCTCCACTCATCAGGCGAGTCGCTTTTCTCGCGCGGAAAACGAAACCGAGAGAAACCGTCCCTCCTTTTCCCATCCCGGAGAGGAGGAATCCTTGCGCCCGCTTGATCTCAACGAACTAATTGCCGGCGAAGCGCGGAGATCGGCTGCTCAGCGCAGCGACAGCCCGAGTGATGGGAGCGCGATGGAAGGAAGGAGTCGTGCTCCGAGAGTGCGAGAGAGGAAGAGAGCGAGGGGCGGAGGGAGGAAGGGGGGGAGAGAGAGAGAGACAGAGAGAGAAAGAGAGAGGTCACGAAATAAGACCGAATGGAACGGTGGCGGATTGGAATGGTATAGCGTGGCATGGCGTGGCTCGGCATGGCATGGAGACGCGATGGTCAGTTCGCATCGAACTGTCGAATCGAACGCCGCGTCCTGGCGCGCTTCTGCTCACCGTCCCGCCGCGCGCCGATCTGCCTTCGATTTCGTCCTTCCCGCCCCGAACAGGACGCACCGGCGGCAGGCGAAAATTGGATACCTATGTGCAGGTGCGCTCCTCCCGCGGTCGATTCGCGCGCGCGCGCGATCGGCACGCCGCGCCGGCGACGACCGCGGGAGATCCGTCGTCGGCGATCGGGCGCGTCCTTTCCGCGTAGCGGATCACACTGATCCTGGTCGAAACGTTGGTGCTCTTGTGCAACGTGTGTGCTCCCGACGAGAGAGACGCCAATTGGGGATCGAGCTTCCGCAACTCAGTAACGATTAATTCACGCATTTGAGTTTGCGTATGCGCGAGGGCGATCACGACGCGACTGTGTGCGCGCTTCGAAACGACCAGTCGTCTGAATTTCTCGAAACATTTCCCCGATGAGGACGAGTCCTCGCGGATAGTCAGTCGCACGCGGCTGTCTGTCTCTCCATACATAGTCACGCGACCCGCCACGGCCGATCATCGAGGGTTGAACTCTCGCGGCGTGTCATCGCGGCTCGACGCCCAACACGTGCGTTGGGTCGCCCATCGGCAAAGCCCATCGCGAATCGCGTCTTCATGGCGACCGCCGACGTTTGATATAACGTGCGCGCAACAACGCACCTGTTGCGCGGCGATTTCGCGAGCGTTCGAGCTTGCAAAGGCGATCACCGGTCCATGATAGACGGGAAAAGGTTAGCGATCGCGGCTTCGCCGTGTGGGCCGCGCGGTTCTTAAGGCTGTCTCCACAACGTCCGGGAAAATCGATCGTGTAGGCTGGAAAGAAGATGTGAATAAGAGAGAAAATCGCTCATTCTCTCTGTCTCTCTCTTTCTCTCTCTCTCTCTCTCGAGGTTTCCTCGAGTTCCCACCCTGATAGCACAGATCTCCTGGGGACGTCCAGAGGCATTCTGAGGAGGAAATAGGACGCCTCCGGGACATCCCCAGGACGTCCCTGGATGTCCTCTGGACATATTTGCTGTTAGGGCTCGCAGGCTCGCTTGGAAAGTAGAGCGGAACTCGAGTGTTGGAGAACTCTGAGTTGTCGTGCGCTTCGCAAGTGGCAGTGTGATTTTCGCCGCGGTGCCGCGGAGCGAATTTGCGCTCGTGTCGGGCTTGAGATTTCACCTCGAGAAATTTAGAGAGCGGCCGGGAGAGAAAAAGTTACTATTTTCATCATGCCGCTTGTACTTTTGATCACGCAATCGACACGCATTCCAGTCCGGCTTGCGCGAAAACATTCCGGTAAAAACGCGACGGTCGGGCGCGCTCGGGCGGATCGAGGAGGATTGATGCGTTTATCCCCAGCCTGCCGGCGGTAGGGCTTTGCCCTCTGCGAGCGTTACGCAAGGGAATAAATACGGGCATTTTTACACGCAGCGAAGGAAGAGAGACTCAGCCGTGCGAGGGAGAAGCGCTCTTCGAAGAAGAGGTGCTCCGTCGCGCGCGCGCGCGTGGAATCGGCGTGGATCGCATCTCGCCGTTAACGTCGCCGCTACCAGCCGTCGTTGTCGCTTAGAGTTCCCGGTAAAATGTGGGCAAAGTGTAGGCAAAAGAGACCTATCGCCGCCGCCACACCCTGCGGCTGGCAGTGAAAAGCGTAGACGCGGACGACGCACAGTGTTGTGATACAGGAAATTGATGTTCAAAAAGGTCTACAGCACTAAATTTTCAACCGATTGGGATTCGACCGATTTTTTTCTTTTTTTAATGAAGGTGAGAAGATTACCTACAATTCTACCGAGCGATATTTTCGATATCAGGAATCCTAACTAAATCCTTAATAGACAAAGTACGAAATATTGATACATTTTCAGAGGATGATGATTTTTTCTACTTCCGTCAACGCGCAAACCATTATAATTGCCAAACTATGAATCCATGCATTGTAAATCTGTTGCGGTGTTCGGTGTTATGGGGTTGGGGATTATGAAGTTCGGGATTATGGGGCTTGAGGTTGTGAGGTTCGGGGTTATGAGGTTTGGAGTTTACGAGTTGAGTAGCAAAAGATTTACAATCCATGGATTCATAGTTTGGCAATTATAATACTTTGCGCGTTGACAGAAGTAGAAAAAATCATCTTCTGAAAATGTATCAATATTTCAATACTTTGTCTATTAAGGATTTGGTTAGGATTCCTGATATCGAAAATATCGCTCGGTAGAATTGTAGGTAATCTTCTCACCTTCATTAAAAAAAAAAAAAAAAACGAAAGATCGTCCCAATCGATTGAAAATTCAATGCTGTAGACCTTTTTGAATATCAATTTCCTGTATCACAACACTGCGACGTAGCGACGGCGACGAGGCGACTCTCTCGGCGCAATCGGTGATAACGCGCCGCGCGACGATCGTTATTCGACGGATTTGCCATTCGCGCGTATGTCTCACTCGATGAAACACAGATCGCCTTTTTAGCGCGCCTTCGGAGAAATTGATACGCGATTGCTTAACGCACACGCAATCGCGCACGCGCGCGCGCGCGCGCTCCCGCTCATATATCATAACGTGCTAATAGTCTCAAGGCGATTTCCTGGGACCGTTGAACCCGCGAGTGAATTCTAGGACGTCCGTGAATATATACCAGGGGCCTTGTGTGTTCTGGACGCGTGTCGAGCGCCGAATGCGCCTT